ACCAGAATTTAAGTCTCTAAAACTGTACTCATCTACTTATTGTGGAACAGAATAGAGAAGACAAGTTGGAGGTGATTAATATCCAGCACAGAAGTTACAACACAATAGATTATTACAGGCTGTAGATGCAGATTAAAGTCATAGATGCAGAAACCTGATTCAAATGTATACCTTGTTAAATGAACAAAATACAGGCACAGGTACCAAATATAGTATCAGCGAATGCACAGTGGTAATGGCAATTGAGAAAATGTCAAGAGGAAACCCAAGGAGAATGGACTTGTTTAGATTAAGTAATGAGTCATTCAAACCAAAGTGAATTTCCTATGATCACAGAAATGCAAAGAAACTGAAAATATGTCTAACTAAGAAATTCTGTGTCTACATGGTAGGTTAGGCATGTGGCAAAATGAACTACTGAAATAGAGAAAAAAAGTAGTTGTCCTAGATCAGCAAGGTAGGATACAGTCACCCAGATGGTTTCTTGGATTTTTCCAGTGCATTCATCAAAACCATCACTTTGCTTGAGGAATACTTAGTACACACATTTTCTAATTTCTGAGAGTCCATGATGCTCAGAAAAAAACACAAAACAAAAAGTAGGGAAAAGGGTATTTTCTTTCTTCCATTTTTTCCTGCTTTGAGTGTTTTTCATCTCTATTATTTAGAAAGACTAGATTTAAAAATAAATTGATTTTTACCTTAACAGTACTGTAAGAGAAAGAGGGATGATGTTTTCCCCCAAAGGCATAAATGACTTGAGTTGGAATGTTACTTTAGTTGTAATGGACACATCCTTTCCTGATGAGTGTTTTTCAGAGGTTGTTTTTATCTAATTTATGTTAAAAATTACAAAGCAACTATGATCTGCCATAATGTGTCTTAATATATTTATGTATTTCAACTGCTTTGGTTTTCTCTCATTGCTTCATGTAATCACCTTCCTACTTGTTCTTCAGTCATCTACCGAGTCTTCCAGAGCAGAATTTATGATGTTAAAAACCCCCAAACACATACTAAATTTTTAAATAAAATTAAGACATCTCTTAAGAGTTTAATGAAAATGAATTCCCTCTATATCCTTGCTGTACACACCATACAGAAACAATGATGAGGAAATAAGAAACCCAATTATCTTTCAACTTTCATCATCTCATTTCAGAACATTTAAATGAGAATTTTGATAGCATGTGTTTGTAAGAATCCCACTTTAAAATTAGGTTTATGACCCACTCATTTTAAAATGCTTATCAGTTCTATATCGAGAAGAGCAACTGCTATTCTATAAGAGGTGACTGATCATAGAATTACAAAAGGACTAGTAGACTAGGACTAGGACTGATTAACAGAAGCTGGAATGGAAGATGGATAAGAGGAAATAAATTATATTGGAGAGCAAAAAGTACCATTCCAAAAGAAAAAAACCCATGCAAATTAATTGTAGAAAGAAGTTGACAAGAGGCTGGATAAAAACAATGCTAATATGCAGTGTACTGCTTTCAGTTTCTCTTTTTCCATTTCACTGTCCGTACTGTTTTTCTGATTTTCCATGTTTTTTTCCTTCCATCTGTCAGAGCAGAACTTGATCTTTCGTGTCTGTGGGTTAATGTTGCTCTTGCTATTTTTAGCAGAAGATAAAAAAAAAAACAAACAGTAACCTTTATCCAACTTTCAATAAGAGAAAGTAACATTGGCCCAGGCCCAATACCATTTAGAACACAGGGATTTTCTTTTCAACCAGTGTGTGATGCTGTAACTCTTCAGAAGATATTACTGCATTTAAAAACATTTAACAGATGTTAAAGTTATTTTCTCTCAATATATTTCTTTCTTAGTACCTGTGAAACTATTTAGATCAAGAATTTATTTTCAATAATTATTCAGTCTTTATGGAGTATGCAAAATCACATATTACTCATTGTTTTCCCTGAACTAGGTGGATGAGCTATTTGAACTGGGAGAAAACCAATAATAATTAAATTCCATAGGCCTTTAGTTCTACAATTATGGAATAGATGTGGACTTTGAGACAAATAATTGTTTGATGTTACTGTTCTTCAACCGTTTGATGTCACTATCTGCCACAATAATATTAGTATTCAGCTTGGAGAAGAGAAGGCTCTTAGAAGACCTTATAGCACCTTCTAGTGCCTAAAGGGGGCCCAAAAGCTGGAGAGGGACACTTTACAAGGGCATGGAAGGATAGCACAAGGGGGAATAGCTTAAAACTGAAACAGGGTTGGTTTAGGTTAGATGAAGAAAATCTTTACTGTGAGGCTGGTAAGGCACTGGAACAGGTTGCCCAGAGAAGCTGTGGATGGTCCATCCCTAGAAGTGTTCAAGGCCATGTTGGATATGGCTGTGAGCAACCTGGTCTAGTGGGAGGTGTCTCCGTCCACGGCAGTCCGTATGGCAGTGGGGTTGGAACTGCATGACCTTTAAGGTCCCTTTCCAACCCAAAACATTGTGTGGTTCTATGAACCCAAGGCATTGTGTGGTTCTATGAATATTTTCCACAGTCTAACACTTCAGGGAAACCATCAGTGGGCTTGCAGAATTGAGAGCAAAGGTTGGGTGTCGTTTGCCAAGTTCTAGGGCTGTCAAGTCACATGTGCTGAGCGCCAGGCCCCCTGAGGTTGTTCTGTTTCTTTGGCAGGGGTGGGGGTGTCTTTGCAGTGGATTCCTAGAGCTGTGCTGCAGCCTGCAGTGTGTGCCAGGATGTCTGTTTAGTCTTGCAGAAGGGCCACAGTGTTATGCCCAAAACCAGCTGGGAGTACAGGGAAATGACCTCAGGTAAACAGATAAAACAGGTGTGACACTGCTATCTGCACTGAAGGCTTCTGCACAGTTGCCTTCTGCTCTGGAGAGGTGGCATCTCTCCTGCCTCCCCAGCATCCATGTCTTGGTCAGGTCTGTGGCAGGAATGCCCCAGCTCTCTCATTCTCATTCTCGTGTGAAGGGTTGCAAGTGGAGGGAAGGAGCACAGACAAAAAAAGACAGCTGGATCCCAGCACACAGGGACAGGCTCCTGCTCCGCTCTTCACTCCAGTTTCATCCTCCCACTGACCTCTGTTGATCCCTCAGCTCAACCTGACCACAGCCAGCCCCTCCACTCCTTCCTGTACCTGTCCTCCCTAGATTTGCATTTCCTGACAGTGCCCCTTTCTTCTCCCCTTTAGCCCTTAGACTGAATACAAGTGTATTCCTTTCTAAGCCACAACCAAACCTTACAGCTGATGTGCCTGGGACTGTCAGCTGGGCTTTCACGACTCTGCCTGGCACTTGCCCTTGCCAGAGGTATTTCCAGCCTTGCAAGATTTGCCTAGACCCCAGATCTAAGAGGTCTCTAGCCATGCTGGAAACAGGCAGCTCATGAGTGGCTTGTTAAGACCTTGCTCCTCTCGCTTGAATACAAAAATGCCCAGATTTCAAGATTGCCGCTCTGATCAGTGGCAGTGCAGTCAGCAAGAGCTCAATGAGTCCAAATGCATGCATGTGCTTGTCAAGAAAATCAGTTAAATGGATCACAACCTTGAGAGGTAGTCTTTGTCATGCTCATCATACACATGTTCTGCCTTCTGCTGAAGTCTGGCTGTGTCTGACCCCTATGCTTACCTTTGTAGAATACAGTACAGGAATCCTTTTTCTTTTAAGTTTTTTTTAAGTTAAGTTTCTCTTAACTGCAACTTTACTCAGCCTAGTTAGAAGCACATGGGGGATGGTATTAAAACATTTGGTTCGAATGATCCTGATGAATAGAAACATACTTTGGATGCAAAGGGAAAAATATCCCTTAGTTCTTTCAGAAAGAGATCTTTTTGCGCAGCAGAAAACTGAGATGTGAAGGAGTGGTGGACGCCATGGTTTACAAATAACATTTGCTTTCTGATATTTTACATATCACCATGTTTAACCTTTCTAGGGGGCCAAATTATTTTTTCCATTTTGAATTCTAGCTGATGAATGCCTCAGGCTTCCCACCCACAAGTGCCTACACGGCTCCTGCAGACCTGTGTGGGGTGGAGCACAGCATCTCTTGCCTGTCAGAAGATTTCTACCTGAGAAGTGCAGTGATGAGAACTATGTAAATGTGACAGAGCTGCTAGAACGAGCAAGAGGGGTTGCATATGTTTGTGGAGGAGAAATTTGCTATAAAGAGTAAATAAAAAGCTAAAAGCTGATGGAAATAGAGCCATTCACATTCAATGGCGTGTGTTCCAAATAGACTAGACATTGCTGAATTGATCCCAGGAATAAATGATCATTTGGGGAGCTATATTTCTTGCCAGGTTCTAGCAAGGCTCAAGTTTTAAAGACAATACAATTGTTCCTCTATGACATGGGAGCAAATAATTCTAAGCAGAGTTTGAGGATGGCACAAAGGCTGAAGGCACAGTAAATCACTAACTGCACAGAGCAGTCCTAGTTACTTGGCTGACTACTTATGTGTGCTTCTTTGAATTTAGTTTCACATTTTAAATTTAATCATATTTAATTTTTTAATCTTAATTAAATTTTATCATTTCTGTTTTATGTTATTGATATTTAAAATTTGAAATGTAATGGCAGGTATTAAGAAGGTCTTTAATCTTGCTGAGAATGGCAAAGCAAGGGCTCCAGCAGCCCTAAGTTGATGTCAGACCGATTAAAATTATAATGGAGAAATGCCTTTTTAAGTGATGATGGTTTAATATTGGAAGGGGTTATCAAAAGAATTGGTTCTTTCTCAGTCACACATCATGACTGGATGAATCTGCGCTTTAGCCAAGCATACATTATGCTTGAGAAAAACACAAGTGACTAGTCTTCATATGGAGATAGCTGTGTGAAATATAATAGTTGATGATGTACATGTGGTCTGATTAAAAACAGAATATCTGATTTGAAGCTATTGTGGCCTTAAACTCAATGATTCTCTTGTTTGCTTAGCTGAATTGGCTTATGACTGATAGAACAAATTGTAATGGCATTCAGAAGCCTGACCAGATGTGTTCCCACAGGAAATGAGGTGATTGCAGTAGACTGGAAGGGACTGAAAGATGTGGACCAAATCAATATGGACAGCACGAGTTCACTGCATGGCAGCAGCTTCCATCGACCTTCCACTGAGGTGAGTGCCTGTCCCAGACCTACTTACCCAAGGAGATCAGAAAATTTGAATTCTCTCTGAGGTCAGAAGCGGGTGTTGTGCATCACTGAGGCATGATCTGGGAAAGGACCGGAATACCAATGAGCACCTGAGCACCAGGCTTTCATACCTGTGTAGTTTGGCTTGCATTGAATAGAGTTGAGTCACTCCTTCACAAGATCCATAGTGAGTGAGAATTTGCAAATAAAAGTGCTTTTTAACCTCTCATGGCAGGAGTGGAACACAACATGGAAAAAACAGTTCTCACAAGCCTGTTGTAGGTCTGCATTCCTTGAATACAGATTCATATTGAAGTGTCCAACACTATGTCTGTCCCAGCTTCTGCAGCATAGCCATAAAATGTTTTGATTTGTTTGTATTTTGATTGTTAGGGCTGCATTCACTAGTAACTCCCAGTCAATTAATTTACCATGCAGCATCTCAAGGGCTGGTTCATTTACTGTTCTGAATTAGTGCAGCTTCTGCACTCTTAGATACCTGAATGTTCAGCTTTGTAAGGTTTAGTGCATGCAATGATGATTAATCAAAATATCAAAGCTATTTTAAATTCATAATATTTGAAGAATCACAAATAATGTTCACAGATAACCTTTAAAAATAACATACAGTTTGCAAAACCTTGAAAAATATAAACGTATCAGTATTTTTATTTCCTTTTTATACGTCTTTGGCTTGGAATATAACTTAAAGAAACTTAAAGATTCATGGAATCCTGGCAGAAATTGTTGGGTCCGATCTTGTGTGGAAGATTCAGTTAAATCAAATGCAGACCTAAAAGTCAACGAGCATACACTACACCTCAGTGAACATCTTGATTTATATGAATGGATACAATAGGTGTAACTGACTCATCTAAATTTTCCTATATCCGCATCCCCAAAACCAAGTTGTTGAGACGTGAGTCCTCCCAGCTGAAAGAAACACACAATGAATTGTTGCTGTGATGGCTGATACAGGAAATGGATGTAGTTTGCAAGGGGAGAGTGAGTCAAAATGGACAAACCGAAACACTACAAGAAAAAATAACTTAAGCAGAATTCTGTTGCTTGCTGTATTATACTTAAAATATAAAGGTGGTGTAGCTCCTCCTTGTGTTAGCCTCAAAGTGGTGCAACCCCCACAGTTGGAAGGGGAGCCTTGTGAAAAAGTGTCTTCCTCTTTCCTGCTCTATCATCCTATCTGCTATTGCACCTTCAGACACCGTGACACCTACAGACGCCATAATCAACAGGAGGGAATGAAACCAGCTTGATAGACACAAGTTTCTTTTAATATATCAAATAAAGCAGTGACTGTTGATTACGGCAGAACCACTAGAGTTGCAAGGCTGTTTGCAACTTGTTTGTTGCACTGACATGCTGTCATTCTTTGCTTTCTTTAGCAAACACGGACAGATTTCTCCTGGGATGGCATCAATGTGAGTATGCACTACACTTCTGTTCAAATTTCTAGTTATAGGAAGACCAGGATTTCTCTGCCATTGGATACAGTGGAGGCCAGAATGGAAATATGACTGAAAGTCTTTAGTGCCAAATTCTGGAAATTTTCTACGATTCAAAGGATGGTGATAAATTTTTGTTTGTTTCTGAGTTTTTTGCCATCTGACAGGTATGTAGATCTGCAGATGGCTATTGAGTTGCCTTCATCCTTTATGAACAAATGTGTGATGCTTTCTATGTTTTATTTTTGAAATTTCTGTGTGCTGCTACATAAGAAAGGTGTCTGTCCAGCATGTTAAAAAGATTGTTAGTCCTTGATCATAATTTGATCTTCTCTTGGGAGAAGTGTATCTCTAATATTCAGTTGCATACAGAAGTAAAAGAATTCTTAATGTCCCCCAGGGGAGATGGTCAGTACCAGTTAACTTCAGTTAACAAGCAGAAGGAAAAGCAAGCAAAATTTTAACACGTTTCTTTTGCTTTTAATACCTGTACCATGAACAAAAAAATATGTTATTTTGTTTGTTTTCCACAAACGCAAAAACAACACCCTGGAAAAGGAATAATGCATATTTTTGCTACCAAACTTTTTTTTTGCGCTCAGCAGGCTTAAAAAATATTTTAACATAAGCTAACTTGATAGTTTTGTACACTTGCAAAGTGTGCAAAAGCTCCATTTTAAGTAGTAGATTTTCATATTTCAGATACTTTCAAAACTTTTAAAATGTCTGTAATTTTCTGATTATCTGTAGTATAAAAGCACTTGGGAACTGAATACCAAGAGGACATTTTTTTAAATAATTCTCACCCTGCTCATACCTCTTTCATTGTGGCACTTATGGCTTGGGATCTTTTGCCTAGGATCAGTTAGAGAAACAAATTGTGCAGGAAAATACTGGTGCATGCAGCAACTGTCCAGAAGAAATTTGTCAGGTTTTTCTCCTCACTGCACCTCTGTCTAGCTGAAAGCAAGGTACACAAAGTCATGTATACTTAAAGAAAGTAGAAGACAGTTTCCTTACTTGCAGTTTCCTGTTTTCCAACCCATTCAGAATCCATGGAGCTCTTTCATAATGCAGCTCTTCTGCAGTGTAATTCCACAGATCTTCTTTGGTATCAAAGCTGGATCATTAATTTCCTACCGATCCCATTCATTCCTGCCTTCATGCCATAGCTCTACAACCTTGCAGTGGTAGAAACTCCCTGAGTTTACTTTCTTCTCTGGACGATTTCCATGAGGCAGCTCACGGCACAGCCCCCAGGCTGTCATGGAACAAGTGGGTGGATACTGAAGAGCAGTGCCCAGGCAGGAATAACCAAGCTTCACTACCTAAGGAAAAGCATCATGGAACAAGGGATGTGTTCTCACTTTTTACTGTTCTTTCTGTGCTTTGTGATTTCTTCAGCTCACGTTGCACACGGCCATTCCTGGCTCCAAAGTTACAGGATGTCGTAGCTGCTGCCTTTATGCTCAGTTTCCAGAAAAACTCATCTCTCATAATTCGGCAATTGACTGGAATTATATGCAGTTCAACATCTTTAAAATGCCTTCCTTTGCCTCCAACTATTTCACTGCCCAGTTATTGCTCCACTCACTTTTTGTGAGGTCTGTGCCTGTGACCAAATGCTTGTTTTGAGTAAGGATTTACAATTTCCAGCATCATGGTCCCTACTTTTGAGTATTGTTGTGTTTCAAACATTCTGGCCTTGTTTTTCAGTGAGGTTGAAATGAAGAGCAGAAGCAACGCTTGTTTAGCCCTTGTGAAAATTAAGCCTCCAATGAAATGTCTGGCATCTCTGAAGAAGCCTGATGAATTCATCTTGAGAGATTATTTTTATGATGATGTTTGTGACTGCTGCCTGTCCCAGTAGTGTCCTGTCCTTGTTATTCTGGGACTGAGGATGAACACAGAGAAGACAATAAAGAAAATTAAGCAGAGCTGTATGCCGTATTTATTTACAGATAGTTGTACGTGCTTGAAACAGGACACGTCACTGATACAGTCATGTTCATTTTATTAAGACCATGTGAGAAGAATAAAAACCCTCAAAGTGACATATAAAAATTATTAACTGTAGTATGATGCATCTATGATACATCAATTACTGCGCCTTGCCATTGGCACTGACAGCTCCCCATTGGAAGTTCCCTGAATTGTCCATCAGCCATGTCTTGGATGTCCAACAAAGTGTTGGGAATGGTGCAGCATGTCTATGAAGGACTGGCAGCAGCAAAGGGAGGCTTCTCACAGCCCAGTTCTGCCTCTGCCTCTGACCTTGCCTCACTCAGTCCCAATGCTGTGCAATATCCAGTCCTGGTTAAATGGCCTCTAATTTTTCCTTTCCTTCTTTTGTTCTTATTGCTTGCTTCTGCTCCTCATCTTCCAACTACCTACTGATTTCTCACTTCAATTCACTTCCTTTTCTCCTTCCTGTATATCATTTCTTCATATTCTCTCTCTTTTCAGCTCTCCATGGAAGATACGACCTCCATCCTCCCCAAGCTGAAACGCAACTCCAATGCTTATGGGATTGGGGCTTTGGCTAAATCATCTTTCTCTGGTGAGGTCCTCAAAATTTGAGTTTATCCTTGGCAGCTTCTCTCCACAGGCCTTTGAGCCTCTTCCCATATCTCTTTGTTGCTCTCACACCTGCTCCTTTCTGACTGTCGCCTTTTCAAGGCCTTAGAGGAGTCTCCACCACCATGGTTCTAAGTACAGAAATCTCATAGCTGCTGCCCTTTCAAAGAACAGATTTGTCTTACTCCTGTTGACCTCTCACCGTGCACCCCTGCTCAGACATCTTCAATTCCTTCCCCTCAAACAGTCTTGAGTTTAACCCCATTTTCTGTTTCTTAGTTTGTTCACTTCCAGGCTTCATCCTTCATGCCCAACTCTATCCTAAATGGATTCTAGGCAAGGAAGGAAATGGTCTTTCAGATTTTGGGTTTCCCTTTTTCCTCCTTCTGAGAGCTAGTCCAAGGAAAGATGGAGAAACTCTCCTGGAGAGTGATACAGGGAAACCTGGGAGACACCCAGCCGCAGGCATGAATCCTGTCAGGAAAGGAGGGGAGAAGCTCCACTTCTAAGAGAGGTAAACAGCATGGCAGACAACCCTGGAACTGTGTAATAGCCCTTCCTTGTTTTCTAATGTCTGGCCCCTTAGGGATATCTCGCAGCATGAAGGACCATGTCACAAAGCCAACAGCAATGGGCCAAGGCCGTGTGGCTCACATGATTGAGTGGCAAGGCTGGGGCAAAGCCAACAGCCAGCAGCAGCAGCACACGCACGAGACAGCGCGCAAAGACGCCGACGCCTACTCAGACCTGAGTGACGGGGAGAAGGAGGCCCGGTTCCTTGCAGGTAGCACTGACTTTCTGGCGTGTGGGTTGGATTGGTTGGGATGACCCAGAGCAGACTCCCTGAGAGACCACTTAGGAGAGGCTGTGGGTGGTTCAGATGGCCAAAGCAGAGAGAGACTTTGTGGTTGGAGTGTTGCCAGTGGAATGCAAATGGGAGAGGTTCAGGGCCCATTGTGGGTGATGGGTGTTGCTGAGATAGGACAAGAGTGGGACAGTGTGACCACGGGATGAGGTTAAGGAGGGTGATGAGAAGCGGAGACTTTCACACATGCCTGTTTACCCTTCCTGTTTCTTTTGGCACAGGAGTGATGGAGCAATTTGCTATTTCTGAAGCAACTCTCATGGCTTGGTCCTCCATGGATGGTGAGGATGTGAGTGTAAACTCAAATCAGGACAACCCAGCAAGCAACTACTCTGAGAACTATCAGGAGCTGATGGAGAGCCAAGGTGAGCTCCAGTGCTTCTTGCTAATCTTAAAACACCCCTTTTCTGCTCTTGTTTTCACGTTGCTGTCTTTCCCTCTACCCTGTTTTATTCTGTAGCCTCAATCTTTGGGAGTGGGATCTAGTAGAGTCATCCCTATTTGTGGAGCTGTCCAAGGAATCTAGTTATAACAGGAAGGCTCCAAAGTCCAGTTCCTTTTGCCGTTTCTGGGCACAACTGTGGAAAGCTAGTGGCTCTTGCAGTCAGTTGTGAATATAATCAAGGTCATCTGCCTACTGCCTAGAACTGTGTTTTCTCTTTACTCTCCTTCCTTCTAAGGGATTCATTTACCCTGCACAGTGCAGTGCTATGCACAGGCACACAGGCGACCTGAATGAGCCAGCTTGGCCTAAAGAGAGTGTCTAACTGTGTGTTGTTTCTCTCCTTTACTTGCAGAGCATATGGCCCAGACGCAGTATGATAGCTGGCCTCATTCCTACGTCTCACAGGGCATGTATTGCTTAGGTTCATCTGATGCCTGGGAGGCCAGTGACCAGTCCCTCATCGCTTCCCCAGCAACTGGCTCCTACTTAGGCCAGAATTTTGATGAGTCCCAGACAAACCTTCAGGAAAGCATTTTGCTTCAGAGCAGCTTTCTCCAGCAGCAACAGCTGCAGCAACAGCGGCAGGAGCAGAACTTCATCCAGAGCACGGGGCTGGTCCACGTGTGGCCCCTGCAGACTGCTCAGAGTGGGGGTGGAGCTGAGTCCAGCACATACATGGAGGACCACATTGAGGATGAAGGGAACCCACGGCTGGAGAAAGCTCCTCTCCTAAACAAGAAGCCCTCTCCAGAGGAGGATGATGCAGTGTGCCGGGACCTGGAATCTCTATCTCCTCGAGAGGAGATGGAACATGCTGCACTGAGCCGCAAAGTCTCAGACGTCACCTCCTCTGGGGTGCAGTCCTTTGATGAGGAAGAGGGAGAAACAAACAACTGATGCTTTCTGTGAAGTTCTCATCACTGCTGAACAAAGAGAGGGGTGGCAAGGAATGAAATTACAGAGATTCTTCTCTCCAGCTCCCCATATTTCTGAGGAGGCACACCTTCCATTCCTGACATTTAATTATTTTTTTAAACAAGAGGAAAATCTCAAAGTGATTGACACATAAAAACCTCTTCTCCCCTCCCCCATGGACACATATTTTGGATTTTCATTGCTCTGGGCAACACGTGAGGTGCTTGTAGAGATCTGGATTGGTAAATAATTTCTAAATCTTTTTAATACTAAGTCTTGGCTGTGGATACAAACTCTTCTGGTACCGGGGATGTGGCTGATGAGACAGGCTGGGTATAGGGAGCGGCTATGTGGCTAGAATTCATCTTGGCAGAATGGATGGTGTTCTGTGGACATGGTCCCCTTTGATAATATGTGAATATAAACTGGTTTCAAATGAAGATTTGGCTTTGCAAATATAGATTGCACTAGTATTGTGTGATTGTGACTGATACAGACTATAAGGCTGTATTCGGTACAGATTGTACTGAAATGAAAGATTTGCTGTGTAACCAGATCCTCAATAGCACCTTGATACAAAATTGTAGGTTTGGTGGATACAAACTGTGCTCCGTGGGCACGGGCTATGCTGCTGAACAGATGGTGTCGCTCTGTGGGCCAGGCTCTGCTGTGGCATGGAGGAGTGGATGCAGATGCGAATCTAACGCTGCTCTCAAATATTCATGTTTTGGTTTCTTTCATTTATTTGTTTCTTTCTTTGACATTTCTGCCTTCCCAGGAGCTGGCAAGAGTGGTGTGTCCTTTTGGCATGGGGCACTGGAAGCCGGTGGAAAGGACATTTTCAGCTATGGAGATAGTAATAAAAAACTGACTCTTGCATGGGGCTTGAGAACATGTCCGTCTTGGTGCTGCTGCTGCAGATTTCTGTCTTCTCCCTTGCCAGCAGTATGGGGAGACCCAGAGAGTAGGCAGCAGATCCAGGAACAGTGTGTACAGCTATGAGATCACAGATACCGAGTTTACATTAGAGTTTTCAGCTTTTGCTTTTTTTTTAACCTTTTTATATTGCTGGATAACTGTTCATGACAAAGCATAATAGGAAAGGCCTGTACTCCAGTCATGGCTTAACAGAAATACTGTTTCTTTCCCATTTCTGCCACTCCTTCTGCAGTGCCAAATGTAGCTGGAGGAAAAAGGGTGAGAGGGAGTTTTCTCCTCCTATTTTTCTTCTTCCTGCCTATGTTTTCTCTTATTTTCCCACCCCCAAGCCGTGTAAATAATGCTCAGTACTTGGTCTGTTTGTTTTTCACTCCCATCTCTTTTTTAGGTGTGGAGAAAGCTGATTTCAGGAGTTTTCCCTATTTGTACGGGTTCTATATTTTTTGTTAAAAAAACATGATTCGTTGACTAGGGGAATTTGGTCTCTTGCAATTCCTCACCATGTTTCTACAGACCTCCTTTTGGGAGGAAGAGGTTTTGAAAGGAAATTATCTCCTTTCAAGCTCTCACCAGGAAAAAAAGAAAAAAAGAGGCAAAGGCAAAAATTGTACAAGGTTATTGATTTTGCTGAAGAACTGAACAGAACCAACAGAGATTACCCAGGTGCTGAGTTTTAATTGCAAGACCTCTTGCAAGGAAGCATCAGCAAAGCATGGGTATAAATCAGATGCTAGATCTGATGAGCTAGAGAAAGGAATTTGCCTGGAGACTGCCATACTGTTCCAGGGGCAACCCTTTCTCACTTACTCTGACTCATATCTGCTCTGTTTAATTCATGATACATTTGTTTCTCTTTTGCCTCTTCTTCAGGCTTGGTGTGTTTTTTGGATGACAGGAGTGTCATCATGCTCCTTCCCTGCTTCAGGTTTAGTTCCTGCATATTTGCGGGGAAGAATGTCTAAGGAGAATAAATCGTGACTGAAGTAATATCATCAAGTCTCAGAGTTCAGACAGCTCCTGGCAAGCAAAGCAGGTGACATCCAGGAATTAACGAAAAGTAGAAATGGGACTCTCAGGTAGAACTTTACCCCACTCAGCTTTCTCCCACTTACACTGGCAGCTGCATGAAGAGGGACTCCTCTTTCAATGTCTAAGTCGTTCCAGCAAAGTCCACTTCAAGCGGATCTGTCTTCCCTCTCCATTGCACCTCCAGAGGAAAGACCTTTGGGATATTTCAGTAAGATTGGTAATTTGGTGTAGGTAAGAGGGAAAAGTTTTTGTGACCATCTTTTTTTTACCCATTTGCTTGGTCTTGCTTACATCTCTCTAAGGCGGTAGCTCTTCTCCTGAATGATGACCTTTCAATATCTCTTCAAAGATGTTTACGCATTCAGGTGCTAACCTCCCCTAGGCAGGAGGGTTTGATAAATATGATCTTCTATAATTCTTGCAGGACCAGTGCTAGCTCCTTGTCCTGAATTGGTTTGGGTCTAGTCTTAGAGCAGGGCCTAGGAAATCACACTAGCCAGAAAAGGGAGATGGGGCAAGTGTCAAGAGCACCTCAGCAGATGACAAATGAGTAAGTGTTAATCTTTTCTTATTTCTTTTTTAAAAATCCTTCAGGGAAGCAAAAATTGGTTGGGTATGTTTCTTTGTGGGAGATTTGAGTGGTTTCTTGTTTTTCTCTCCAAACTATTTTGTTCCCACGTGCCTCTCCAGGACCAATCTGGATGTTTACGGTAACTTTAGAGTAGCTTCTAATGATCCCTCTGTGTTGTTTACAGGACTGGGACAAGTGGGTCAACTTGTCCAGGGCTTCTTTTTCTTTAATATGGGCATGTGGTACATTTACTAAGATGTGTGACTTATGTCTAAAAGATGTACATTATCTCCATGGAAGACAGTGACAAGGAATTTTCTACATGGGAAGAAGTGTGAAAAAAATTACCTTATAGAAAATTTTGTGGAGTTCAGTAGGAAGAGAAAACCTATCTGTAGATTTTTCTGACCTCCGTGGAATGGGATAGAGAATTATACCCTGCTGTACAATTCCATAGCCTGATCTCTAGAAACCTGTAGATAGCCTCATTCTCTGTGAATACAGACTGGTTTGAACACTCTGTAAAAACTTCCAAACTTACTAATTTTTTTTTTTTCCATAAAGGTCTTGACTTTCTGTGAATAATAAAATTTCAGCCTTTTCCTGAAAGAAAGAAAAAGGCTATTTTCCATGACCTCTCCCCAATCTAAAAGAGAAATGTATCTACATTTGCTAGGAGCTTGCCCAGAGAGAGCAGATCTGCCTATCTACACTTGCCACCTGAGTGAGCATCCTGAGCTGAACTGGAAAGGCAGTTTAATCTTTTTGAAAGTGGAAAATTGTTTGTATAACCTGGCCTTTTCTTATGTAACAGGCCTGCTGCTTGTGTGTATCCAATATTACAGAGAGACCTGGAACCTAGTGTATGTTTCCCAGAAAAGCTGTTGTTATATAGATACACCTATTCAAGCATATGGGAGGCACAGGTGCTTTGTGAGTGAAATTTGGCCTGCAATCGCTTTATCCTGGTGAGGAGGGATGAGTTGGAGAGAGTCCAGCCAAATAGTCAGAGCCCAAATTGTATTTGTGAGGCTGAAAATAAGAAGGAAAGGTAAGCTCAGGATCCCTGATCTGCAGTTACTAAGAAACTGAGCCTGCTGTTTGTTTCCACAAACCTTTTGTAAAGCAGAACTGCACTACAGAAAAAATGTGGATATTCTTGAAGCAGTGGAGGTAGAAGATTCCCATCTTTTCCCCAAGCCTTTGTCTTCAGTAGAAACTTGTTGAAATTATTATGCTAAACACAAAGGAAGGCTTAAACACAAGTGACCCTAATTTAAAAGCTTCCACTGCAAGAAAATTCTCTTGTTCCTTTTCCCATGATCGCTCATACCTGATTAGTTATACTATTTCATAAGTTTTTCTTTTATATAAATCTGAAAGTTTCTTTGTAAGCGTTCTGAGTTCTCTTCAACTCCATTACCTCAGGCTCTGGGGTGGAGAAATCAGTCTGCTCATTTCAGTTTCTGTGCCTCTAAATTACCATCATCTTCTTCTGAAAAGCTGCTGACAAGTCACCCTCTTGCTTTTTCCCCTTAAAAACTTTAGTGTCACCTTTAGCGACAGACTTGTAGCAGAGAACAGTTTAACCATGCTTCTAAGCTGATCCAGTGGTGAGCTGCTGTGAAGGAAGGCAGCCCTTTGCCCTGGCTGTGCTCACCTCCCACAACCCTTATGCTGATGCTGATGCACAGTTGACCCACAGCAAACCATGCACTTTTACCCTACTATAAAAGTGAAGAGGGAACAGCTGTGAGCGGTGGGGGAGATTGTGCTGTTCGCAGCAGCTGGCTTTCCTTTATATCAGGTTAGGGAAACAGGGGAAGTGCACTTTGAAATGGCATCTTCATGATGAGTCTAAGCTGCTCAAAGGAGCTGTCATGCCTCCTCCCTTCCGCCACCACCAGCTGTGTACTTCTACTGCCTAAAAAGCACCAGCGCTAACACTCATTTGGCTGCTCAGGAACTGGTCCCATTGAAAACTAACCCAGTCCCCTATCAAAATAAGGGTTTCAGTGGGATGAACTCTTCATATTGCTTCACTTGGTGAGGCAAGCATCACTGAGGGCTGGTAAAATGTGCAAGTGGTCATGTGGAAGACTGGTTACCAATGCAACTTAAATTGGCTTAAGCTGATTGTGAAGTACCTCTCTGAAAAGAACTGGGGCACCATGAAGGACATATTCGCCCTTTTCTCCCATAGTGTTTTTCTTGGAATTTCAAGTATGCTCTTACTTGATTTGGAGTTTGTTGTTATTTGTGCTCTTTTATTTCTCTCACTATTCCCTTCCTTTCCAAAGGCTTCTTTGAGATAAACCCTTGCAAGGGACAGGAGGACATGAGTAACTTGATATATGCATGGAATTAATAAAATTAACGTGCACAAATCTCATATACACTCAGTGATTAAACTCCATGGCAGCTAAAGGTACTGATAAGTCTTATCCTGTAATTGCAAGAGGAGAGCCTTGTGCAAGAGTGAAGCACAGCTGGAGGAAAGGACACATATCCCTATCTTTAAGCCAGTTCCAATCTAGTGTGAGATCCAGCAGAGCACTTCTCACCCATGCAGAGTCTGTGCATGCTGTACTGTGTATGGCAACAACGAAAAAATGTAAGTTGTAGCCCCAGAGAAGAGAACCAGAGAGAGGAAATTGTTCTGTTAGTTGGACAGAGGTGTGAGGTGTGGTGGTGAGCCAAGGTAGTGTGCAATAGTACAGGCTTGTGGACAGCTGTGTGTGCTCTATGCAATGGCAAGGATAAGTCTAGCTAGAGAGGGAAAGACATTGAGAGAAAGGCTTGGGAAAAAGGTCAAAAAAAGCTGAATGTCTTTTCTTTACACAAGTCGGGTAGGAAGCTTAATGGCAGACTTGCTACAAAAGCTTTAAGTCCAGGATTGTTGCAGCTTATAGTACTCCTTAGTCCAAGCCACACTTTTTTTTTTTTTTCCACAAAGTGATCAGAAACGGTACCTGCTAGCTTCTTTTCATTATCGTTGAAAGCAATTCACAGTATGCTCAGTTCTGCAGGGAAATCTTATGAGAAATACACCAAATAAGAACTTACTCCTTGTCCAAATGAAGTTAATGCGAGTTTTGTTCTCATTAGGAACTCAAAATATCTAAAGTCAGCTCAGTTTGCCTTAACTGGTGTATTGGTAATTGTCTAGAAGGAGAAACTCAAATAAATCCACCTCTAAATGCTGTAGAAAGCAGAGCAACGTTGACATAGCCTAAGCTCTTCCTTGTGATTTGTCCCAGGTGGAATTTCCAATGTTTCTTGTTCAGACAACTCTGGCATATCTTTTAAATTAACTTTTTGACTTTTTCTAAGAGAAACAGAAAAAAGAGAAAAAAAATTCCATTCTGATAGAGAGATTATCAGCAGCTGGTGTCCTTACATCTAGAAAAATGTAACTAAGTAACAGTTTTACCTTTGATTTTCCTCCCCTGTAGCAATCTGACAGGGAAAGATTTCTATGCCGTGGCTCAGGGAAAGGAAAAATAAACAGGGAAAATGTGAGTAAAATAGTGCCTATTAGAACTAAACGTATATGTAGGACAGACTACAGTCATTAAAGCACAGTCTCAAATATGATTGCAAGCTGTAAAGTCAATGTCAGGTGCCTCTTTTGTATCATAGGCTTTTCCCAGGCTAAATAGTGCAGGAGCAGAAGAGCTGGACTTGTGTGCCAGATCAATGTCTCTCTTTGTCTCAGAATTTGTCATGGAACCTGGGTACACTACGCTCTCTCAGCAGCACAACCAGCTCCATGAATTGACAGGTGTAGACATGAAGACAAGTGCTTAATTTGTTAACAAATGGACATGGACAATTTGCACTTGGAACATTAGGGTCTATTTACATCCTTGCACTGGCATTTTTCCCCACCATAGTCAGATCAAAATGTTATCTTTTCCTTGGAAATGAGGAGAACTTCTGTGATTGTCAGTGTTGGTCTGCACAAAAGAGAATAAATATGTGATACATTTTTCCAGTGCAAATAGACGTTTTTGGAAGAGGAAAAATTTAGCCAAGCTGTGACTTCGAGAAAGATTATATTTACTAAAACTGTAAAGACTTGTTCAAGAATGTTCTCAGTGCCGATACCATAGAATCACAGAATGATTTGGGTTGGAAAGGACCTTAAGGATCATCTAGTCCAACCCCTCTGCCATGGGCAGGACTTACCTATTGATAAGTAGTAACTGCTGTCTTCTAGGAAGAGAGGGATTACAGTGTTCTGTGGATCTTCCTCATCTCCTTTGACTGGGGACATTTTAAATGCTCTCTGAAACCTAGTCTTGTTTTTGCTTTCCCATAAGGGATCAAATGTCCATGCTAGCAAGACAATAAAGGCTTTTCTCCATTCTGTAGACAAGATCATGCATCGAGATTTGCTTCTAATAAGATACAGGCATCTAGTCCAGATTCATTGGCCTTCTGGATTCATCTTCATTGGGCATGGAAATCTGGTCATGAGTTGGAGGCCAAAAGGTTAAGAACCCTCCTCCAGAGTCCTGCCAAGTTCCCATGAGGCAAGTACAAGTGAACTTCCCTTCTTTTCAGATACTGCATGCTCGAGCAACGTAGCAAGCCAAAAGCTCTTTTGCAGGTATATATTATTGTTTGGCTATAATATTTCTTCTCTAATTTGTGGATGTTGTGCATGATTGGAGGTCTCTGGGAATCCCTACATTATAAAATTGGGACTCAAAAGTAATTTTATGGGGAACAGGATTTCTCTTGTTTCAGCTCTTTTTTAGATATGAGTGGTTAAAGACAGAGGTTTGGGAGGTACAAGGGTGGTGGATGGGAGTCTCAGGGGTGGCATGCGGAATGGATTCCTAAGCATGTATAAAAATAACTAAAGGCTTAGGTCTTTAAGTGTTGTATTCTCAGTATCTGAAACTACTTTAGCATAAGTGTATGGGACAATGGAGGTTGCTGCAAAGCAATTTTAAAGAGCTTCCCCCAAACCTGTACACATTTTCTGTAGCGGGGAGTCTGCATGGTGATTATATTTATTCTTTCAAGCTAGTGTTTACAGAGGTGCACTGATGTTTGGGGAGAAAGTACCAAATTGAAGTAAAACAAAAAGGGAAAGGGACCCACTACTGAAAGCTTTCATCCTTACCTTGTCCCACCCTAGCCCTTAATAACTAACATGAGTCTGATTTGCCTTTGGTCTTCCAGCTCCAAAACATGTTTGCCTGAAAATTTTTGTTGGATATACTTCGCATGTTTTGATAATGTGACTTATGAGATAACACTTCTACAAAGATATATATAAATACATACATGTACAACCACATGCATACATGTGCACACACTACATATAGACTTAGAAAAATATATGGCACTACACACCTCCATGCCTGTATGTGGCAGTAACCACAGTAAAGGAGGGGAGGTAGCTCAAAATAGCATGTACAGTCCTTTATGGAGTTGTTATTAAACAGAATGTGGTCTTGCCATCCTGGCTGGTGGAAGTGTTTTATTTCTGTGGGACTGGTTCCAGGGGAGTTGCGTCTCAGGAAGGAGGATCCTAGGAAGAGGGGGTGGGTTTCCGTAGTCTGATGGAGCATGTTAAAAATGATCCGTGGTGGCTTGAAGAAGCATTCCAGAGTAGGAAGTATCTGATGCGCTCTTTCTCATTAAGAAGAAAAGAATGTCTGACTATACAGAGCTAAAATCTGATGTGTGTCTGTGACTACCATGACACGAATCCCAGGCCATTGTGGCAGATTTGAGGATAGATAGCATCACATCAACAGAATCCTCTAGTTCAGCACAGACTGAGTTTTCCTGTTACACTGGATACATGTAAGTTTTGTCCCAATATTGGTGACATGCAGACACATCTGGCACAGAGCTGGACAGAAATTTCACAACAGCAGGTTAGGACTGGACACAAAGAGGAGTTTGATGCTTAGGCACTGACTTTGGGTAGCACAACTCTGGGTGCACATTTCAGTTTTAAATCAGTGCTTCTCAGGCTGGTGTTCTCATAGCAGACTCACCCAGAGGGAAAGGAACATCTCTGCACTTCCAACATTGTTCTATCATCTACTTCTGATCTAGGACATTAGGCCAGATCCAGTAGCTATTTGTTTGCCATATGAGACTTTTAAATTCTAGTCATAAAAAGTATGTATTTCCTTGTCCAGATACTTGTGCTTTTCCACTGGTTCTTCCAGGGGCTAGACAGTGTCCCTTGCCCTGCTTAAGGTATAGCATATTTCACAATCAGGGCTGTTTAGGTGATCTTTGCTTTCTGTATCATATTTGAAGTTAATTTGCTTCATTCCAGTTTACCTGCCTTTGCTACTTGAATAGATTGCCACCCACCACTTGGTATGTATGTCTGCATAATTATGTGCGTATAATTAATTGTGACTTGCATAAGACACACTTAACTTTTTATTTTTTCTTTTTTTTTTTTTTTTTAATTTTTGTCAGTCTTTGTAAGTCCCACAGTACCCTCACCTGGTTTTGTAGAGGGTTTTCTGGTTTTTGGGTTTTTTTTACAAATGGCCTTTAAATTGTCACTACTGGTTTTTTTTTAGAACATGTGCCAGATGAAATCAGTTATTCCACATTTGTTTAAGACTTGAGTTCCTGGGAAAATAGCATTTTTCTGGGCCTGGAAGTCATACCTCTGCAATGTCTTTTTTTCTTAATTTCACGTTATGCTACAAAGATGGTGTCCAGTTACTGAGTGTTTCACCTAAAAGAACTCTTTTTCCATCATACTAGGCTAGACTTACCCTCAGTTAAGTTTGTCTTGTCTGGGTTTAGCTGCTTTTAGCCCCAACATGAATCTCATTCTGTGATATCTGTCTCAGGCTCTGATCTCCACTTTCTGCTTATTTCTCTGTTTGGACTAGATGGCAAACCTACCATATGTTTCTCTCATGTTACTGTTTTACAGTTTCTCCTATGTTACTTCTAAGTAATTTATGAAAACAAAAAATAAAAAGGGCATAAGAGCATTTTTGCTGCACACCTCGCTGGATCTGCACTATGCCAGCTGCAAGGGTATCTTCTATACAGTTCCTCAAACAGTTCATACCTTCTGTGCCAGAGAAATTGCAAATTTGATTTAAGCATAAGATTCTGTGACATGTTTGGTCATAATCCAGCCATCTCAGCTCCCATTTCTTTTCACAGCCCATTTGCTTAAGTGCACTGTAGAAGTTTGAGGGGGAGAAAAAAGCAGATTTTTTTTTTGCAAATGCATTCCTCATAAATCTTCCATGACTGTCTTTTGCATTTGTTTCTGTGTTGAAAAACTGAAAAGCTTCTAACTTGAGTTTGTGTTACTTTATTTTGAATATATCTTAGTATGTCTTGTATTTTTACCTTCTGTTCTTCTGACTTAGTAGCTATCCAGTAAATAGTCAGATATTAGCAGTGTTTAGGTTGTTGTTCATATAAAGCAGGCAATTCATATTTTCATTTCTCTATATCCTGTTTCCTTTATAAATTCGCTACAGGACTTTTCCTCAGCATACACTGTCCACTATATCAGGTGCAATCCTTCAAGTTGGCTGAATATGTTTCAGTAAATGGTTTTACTGTGGGACAGAAAATGTTTGCACAAGCAGCACACTGAAGCAGATGGGATGTGAACAAATGCTCATTTGAAAGGCCAGTGCTTGAACTAGTAATAGGTTTGGCTGAGACTGGCTTCATGTAGCTATCACACTAATCCCAGCGGTGTCCACAGCAGTGTCTTTAGTTGCTTGTCTTTCCATGAGGCTGTGCCACGACTTAGTGATTCCCAGCAAGCTGAGTGAAGGAGAGATGTGGCTCAGGGCACAGGCAACTGAATTGCAGAGCTTTCTGCTACTGCATAGCTGTGATTTGAAAGAGTTTATGTTTGAGGGTGTGTGCATGTATGAGTACACATGCACAGGGTTATCTGTCCAGGGGCAGGGGGAAGAGGCACAGAACAGCCTGTGGCTTTTGATCGGGACCAGCTTAAGCTTGCCTCCCACAAATAAAGCTTTAAAAAGTTTTACATCACATGGCTTAAGATATAAAATGTTTTTCTCTGAGAATACTGATGCTCAGGCATAGCTTTTAGGTGGAAATATTAATTATTGGTCTCCAGTGTTTATTAAATTTTTATGAGAGCTGTGCCCAGATATGTGCTTATGTGACCGTGGACAACTTAGTTCTTGCTGTGACCCTATTTTTAATAGTGTGTTTTTAATTATACTCTTCCTGGGTTGGACTAATTTGGCAGAGAGGAATCTACACTTGCTCAGCTGGTTATTGCCCTGTCTTGTACTCTGGCCACAAACCACACACTTATATACAGTGTTTGCATAACTGGGGAGAAGAGGGAAGTTATTTTCATGGACTCTGTCTGTCTCTCTATTTCTGCTTGTACGAAGTGATTTTGTCCTTAGAAAACTAGAATTTTTCTTAGTCTCAAATAATTTTCCAACCAAAAAAGTTACGTTGTTTGGGCAAATTTTTCTTATTGTCCAATAGTCCATCTCCATGTGTTTTCTCCCTCATCCAACTCATGACCTTGTCATAGCTACCCAAAACCCTACCTGTTGTCTTACCAACCTTAAGTCTCCCCTATTTTTTCAATTCTTTGTATTGATGCATTTAAAAACAAAACTTCTGCTTTCACCTTTGAATGCTATATGGGAGTTCAATTTTTTGCTAGATTAAAAGTTAAGACATAACTTCTTGCCTCATTAACTTCAGTGAACTGACAATTAATTGAAATTAAGATTGCATTTATTTTAAAGATACAAGGTCAAAGGATTTTATTTAGTTTTTCTTTTGTTGTTTTTGGTGGTGGTGTTTTCCCCAGATTTTCTGCTCTGATGGAGACATTTCATTGTTGTGTTCTTCTCATACTGTTATATGTTGGGTTCTGTCTCAGTTTAACAAGACAGAAGTGTTTACTAGGGAGGGCGGGTTCCCTTGACAAAGGTTCAGTGTCAGTTTACTGCACATTTTACACCTATTAAAGTACTTGCCATCATCTCACTGAAGATTTTATTGGTAAAATGGAATGGAAGCCTTTTCAGACTATCTTTGCAGTATGGGGTTTTTTTGTCCCATCCTGGCTCCCTATGCATTTTCATGTATGAATACAGGTGAGAAAATGGTACGGATGAATTCTGGTTCTGTTCCATGGGTGGAAGCAATACCTGGAGTGGACCTTGAATAGTGTCTGCAAGGACCAGCAATTACACTCACCTTTCAGTTCCCCCACAGAGTGAAATCCAGCTCCTCATAGGAAGCCTGGGAAGCTAAAGGCAATAGGAATGGAGAAATATGTGTGTGCGCATGTGTGAGCACACATGTGTGTGCTCTTATATTCTCACGTGACAAACCTCAAGAAGCTTTCCAGGTTAGCTTGTGTCTTACTCCAAGCTCCCCAAGCCTCTCCATGTGCATCATTTTTGTTCCAGCTTCATCTCCCCCAGCTCACAATCTGTCTGTCATGACTCACACACTCACTGGCTTTGATTTAGACTCCATCTGCTTTCTCAGCTAGTCAAAATCCCAGTTCTTCTGTAACACACTGTAGGAGAAGTGTGGGACTGGAGCAGAACATGTATCTGTATTCAAGAGAGAGGAGGGGGAGGTGTATTGACTCCAGTCTCAAAGTTTCTCCTTGTCTCATCTGTCTCAGTGGAAGCATTTGGTTGAGCTACAAAATGTAAGTCTGCACTGTAAGGCTGGGGATGACTTGGAGAAACTCATCATTCGTGAGGATACGTGGACCCTCAGATCTGATTTGATCTCAGTGTTGTCACTCACTGCACATTTATGTGAATCTAAAAGGAATGCCCTTTCTCCTTTGCTTATATAAAGGACTATCTCAGTTCCCTGAGAAAAAAAAAGCAGTTGTTTTGCCTCTTCTCTGCAGGCAGTGGAAGGTGACACAAAGGTAGCGGGGAGGCTGTGTGCTAATGCCTGGCAGACAGAAATGTGCCCCTCTGGTGGAGGCAAGCAGCTGGTGTGTGCAAGAGACTTGCCCTCAGATCAGTGTTGTCTTCTCACAAGGACAGGGTGACTCTTGGAGGACAGAAGAAAGGGAAAGGCTGTGCCCAGTTAGCTCATAAAGGGGACTCGTGTGCCAAAGACAATACACAGCTGGTGGGCTCTGAATTACAGACAGCAGAAATAAATTTTTCCCTCTTCAAGAGAGTAGCTGGTAAAATTTCCTTCTACTATAATCTTGTCACAGACTCTCCCACCCATAAGCATCATCAGAGAGGAATTGGGGGAAGGTCAATGTCAATCCTTGGAATTAAAGCCAGGAGGGAATTTTCCTTTGGCGCCTGGGTTAGAGGTAATGATATTTTTAACTTGCTACTGAGAGAGCTTATGGAAAATTATCTCTTAAGGTGAAACTGGTCACTCTAAGTTAGGTAATACTTCAATAATATCAGGAAAGGGGATGTCACCCAACATCTGGGAGAATACCCCCAAGAACATATTCTCCAAGCCTGGATTTATTCTCCTTTGCTGATAAGTGAAAACATATTCGATAGGCTGCTTGGGACTGCATATAAGTGCCATGAGACACCAAAAATATGATAGAAAGAAATGTAGACTGTTAGAAGAAAGCTGCAGAATACACAGAATTTGATTTTGCCTATTTACTGAGAAAACCTCACAAGAGTGGTGAGTTAAACAAACCAGCATCTCATCTTTGGATGATAAGATTTTGCATGCACAACACGAACTGACAAGACATCTCTTCACAAGATGCAGATCAAGATCTGCTCCAGATTTAGAACTGGAATAGAGAGGGATGCTGTAGACAAGGGTTGAGGTCTCTGCTGTTAGTCACAACGGAGATAAGCTGGCAAAAGTGAGAGCTGGAATTCTCAGATATGAGGTATGCAGAAATATGTGGAAAGTAAGCAGTGCAGAATTAGCAGGAAAGAGAGCAGGAGTTTTCAGAAAGAAATCCATTTTCAAAGTGTAGAAAATGTAGCTTTCCTCTGCTGTATTTCTTGGCAGCCTGCAAACACTCCATAATTTTTTTTTATTTTGAGTTCTTGTATTTTAAGACTATAACTGTGGAAAAATTGTGAACAGTGATTCAGAGAGACAAACACGGGTATTTGAAATATAGGTACATACATGCTGCTTTACTCCTCTTCCCCCAACACTGACGATGCCCCCACTTGAGATTTTCACATTCTGTTAAAAAATTCCAGAGATTATGGGAAAACAAAGAGGCTTTTCTCCCTTTCAGTGCTTTCTAAAGCCCTGACTGAATTCAAGGCATGAGATATATACCCAATATTTTCCTCCTATCTGTTTTTAGGGCATAGCTCAGCTAAAGGACAGAGGAGAAGCTCTTAACTGCACCCCCATCCAGGAAAATCCCAGAGTAAAAATTGAGAAAGCATAAAAATGTTCTACATGGGAATGTTTGGGGGGGATGCAAGATAAGAGCTAGTGAAAAGGAGCTGCAGCAACATGGACAGGATTGCAGTCAGAAGCAGTGGTATGCTTCTAGGCTAGGGTCCTGGCTGTGTGTTACACTGGTGTATGCGGGCCAGGTGTGACTGGAAGGATGACACCAATGGTGAATGAGAAGAACTGCTCCTCTTCCACTTTCCACATGGCAGATTGACCCAGAGCATCCTGGCAGTGTCCAGCAGTATTCATATCCTGTTACAACCCCTTCTGCCACGTTATGTAGACACAGCAGAAGCCTAAGCATTATGAGCCTGTACTTTGGCACCTTCCAGTCCACATCCGATGCCTGCACACACGTGTATAGTCCAACAGCCCAACAGTCTTTGCACAGAGACAATGCAGCAGAAGAAAGGGTTGGTCTGATGCCCCTCCTCGCAGCTGAATCATACCTCTGTGGGGATTGCAAAGAATGTCCAAAAGCTTCCCTTTGAGGAGCAAACACAAGAAGACTGGCTCACTGAAGAGTGTGATGGACTACTACCCTCACACCAGCTATAAGCGGACCTCTTCATCCTCATCTTCATCTTCATCTTCATCCAGGTCAGTGGTGCGTAGGCTTATGTCCCTGAGGATGTCTGAGATGTTTTCAGCAACTGGCCCTGTAAGCTCCAGCTCTTCCAACTCAGTATCAGTGGCAGAAGTGGAGCATGGGACTTCCCCCTCTTCATGTGAGTTTGAGGGCTGGGGGGAGTCCGAGCAGGGAGGCAGTGGGCTCTCTGTGCCCAAAGGCACTGCTTGCTGTGCTGCCACCATGCCATTGTCCTCCCGGTTCCACGCCTGAGTGGCCTGAGTGACCTTCTCACTGTTGGTGGAAGTCCGGTTGGTATTACGGAAACTGGCGAGGGGTGGGCGGAGACGAACCCCGGAGCGCGTGGAACCCTCTATTGCCTTCTGGAGCTGTAAGAAGAAAAAAATTTCTGAAGAAACAGATGAAGGGAAGGGTTATCCAGCCTTACTCAGCAGAAGTTCATCTACTCCCCAGGGCTAAGGGATCACAAATAGAGTCACAGCTCTAGCTCTGGGGCCTATGGAGATAATCTTTTACATTGGTCGTGTAATGAAAAATTCCATGGTAAATACCAAATTCCACACCACTTTCAGAAACAGCAATAGCCACTCAGTTAAGAGTGGCTCATGAAAAGGATGAACCTTCTAACATTCCTATAAACAACACCTGCTGCCTCCTCTGAAATGCAGTCATCCATTCCTCTACATGCCTTCCAAAGAGTTGATTCAGAATTCAACACTGGATTGAAAATGCAGCAATTGTAGATATATATATATTCCCAGCTGGAACTTGCAGCACCCGTAAGGTATTGCAGTGATCCATGGGACATTCGCAGTTAATTAAGAGGATGGTAAGGGATCTTACCTCTTCCAAAGCCAGCACTCCCCTCAGCTTCCCCATACTGGTTACATAGGCGTGGCTGAGGCCCAGTAATGAGAACAACGTATGCGTCTATGAGCAAAACCACAAAAGAACATTTCAGGGACCTTGGAAACTGGTTACATAGTACTTGGTGCTAGAGCTGGGACTTGGGATTTAGAAATGGGAATCACAAAGGCACGCAAGTCTGCAGTTATCCCAGTGAGAAACTACCTCATTCCTTCCCCTTTTGTATCTGCCAAATACTACCCTTTGGTCCTTCTGCTGTGCAGCCCTAGTTGGGAATGTGTTGATGATGGAGAACACATTCTCAAGGTCACCCTCATCCTGCATCTGGCAGAGAATCACGTGCAATACCCTGTGTTGTGTATTTGGGGACTTACGCAGATCTATTTCATTTTGGTGCTAGAAATTGACCTAGCCTATGTAAAGCCAGAAACTGCTTAGGTTATTTATTTCAGTGCTTTCCTTAACAATAGAAGATTTATTTTTTCCTATTCCAGAATATTTTCTGTTAAAACTTAAGCTTGTTGCTGCTTATCCAGTGCAGAGAGAACACTGAGAACAAGTTATTCCCTTTCTCCTGCAAGATCTCCTTGAAAGGGCAAATATCACACTGTTATCAGTCTTCTTTTCTTAAGCCTAAATATACCCCATTATTTTACTATTCTTCATAGATCTGGCTTTCTAAAACTTTCCACATTCTCGGTGCTCATCTGTGGTGTATTTCCAACCTTCAATTTCTTTTAGCTGAGCTCCAGCTGGACTTTACCTATGGTCTTACATTTAGTCGTCCTTTCACAGTTGGTGTTTGCCTTTTTTTTTTTTTTTTTACGTCACATGAGATATTGAATGTCATGTTCAAGTGTAAACTAGGAAAAATCTAATTTCTCAGGAAGAAGACATTTTACCCTAATGTAAAAGAAAATGAGACTGCGTAAATATAGTTTGATCATGGTAAATTGTTATATTCTTGCCATTGTCAGTACTCTTACATTTAGCTCTAACTGTGCATACCTCAGATAGTTTGATTATTTACTCCTGCTATTTTGAGTGCATCCAAGTTAATGTGATTTGTTTCTTTTTTCAGTTTCTCACTTGCTCTTTTGTATAACAGGTACAAAACTTCCCCTTTTGCAGCCTTCAGGTATAATTTCTTGTAACCCCTGTATTCTCAAAGGTAAATGCTAGTGGTTTTCAGATCACTTCAGCCAGCCCTTTAGAAAACACCAAACTCATATGAACTATATGCTAACCTCTTCTTATTTTGCTCAAGGCTGAGATCTTACCCCCTTGATAACAGCAATTAATTAATTTTGTGCAAGGTATATGCTGGCCATTCATATTAAATGAATATTTATAAAAACAGGCACTGTGCACTTTCACTTTAGTAGACCGCTTTTCCTTTCCATCGAGTGAAAGGCCAGTCCTCTCTTCCCCTGACATACGACTGCTTTAATCCCCAGTCATCCTGTGCTGACTCTAGAAGTTGCATGATCCAGCTTCCTCTTTCCTTGTCCTTCAGTTCAGTGAAGAACCTGTGATATAGGCAGACTTTAAACCCTGACAGAAACACCGTGAGAAATCCAGGAGTACTCATTCCAGTACTGCACACTGACAAAGTAGATTGTAAATCTCAGTGTAATGCCACAGCAGCAAGGCCTACAATTCTACTACAGTGTTAATGTAGTGGCTGGGATTTCCTATGTGGTGTCCAAAAGGTTTTTTAATAAATGCACTGAGATTTCTTATCACATAGCCTTTTGTTTTGCAGGAGATTGGAGGTACACACAGAAGGTTGTAGGAACAAACTGACTTCTGTAACTAGATGTGGAAGTTGCTGCTGGTAGTAGTTGTAGGTGAAGACAAGGAGAAGAAATAAGTCATAAACTGAACTTGCAGTGATAGATAGGATGGAGAAAAATGATATATGTCTCAGGGAGACATCAGTACCCACCTTGTGCAGGGAAGTTCTCTCCACCAGTTGGAAAGGGCAGGGGTCTATGCGGCAGCTGTCAAAGCACACGTTCTTGTTCAGCTCCTCCTGTTCCCAAGCATCTATCTGACACAGGAAGGAAGAGTGATCTGCATTGTTGCTGTCTTGTGCACCCAACTAGTCCCCTTCTTTTGTTGATGCTTCTTCCTTCCTATGTAGATCATTCATCTTGCCCATTATATCGTATCACCCCCCTGAGGTTTCCCATCCCTTTCATGCCTGATGTCAAGTCCCTATGGAAACAGAGCAATTCCAGTACCTCAGAGGTTTTCTGAGAAGATGAGGTTTTGCTTCTTCCTGCATAAAGAGGGAGTGAACATCTTTTGCTTTCCTTTCTGAGTTCATCTTCCCCTTGTCATTGCAAGATAATTGATCCTTTGTGTAAAAAGTGAAGGAACAACATAGGCCCACAGAAAGATTTAGGTGATGGGGCACCTGTGGAGGTCTCTAGTCCAAAACCCTGCTTGCAGCAGGGCTGACTTCAAAGGTGGGTCAGATAAGTCAGAGCCTTATCATCACATCTAGCTGGACAATCTGCTTTTATCAGATGAGACTTGTCCACTGTGCAACTTGAAGAAGAAAATTACTTTAGCTATGGCTTTATGTAGCAATCATTGAGGTTGCTGGTGTTCAGGAAGTATTGCAAGTGACAGGAAATGGATAAAAGAAGCACTCACTTAACCTCACTCTCTCTGCAGCAGGTCTTACCTCTTCTGGTGTCATTGTCTCCACAGCTTCCACTGGATCCTGTAGGAGAAAACACTCTTCAGGACAGCCAAAACCCACACAGTTTCACTGAGTACAGAAAATAAAAACCTGCACAGCCTCCTCACCCCATGTGGTCCCCTTTTTGCTCCAAATAGTATATTACTGAGTGCTTAGGTTTTCTTTATATTCATCCATTATAAGGTGTACCTTGTTCTTGCTGTGCTTCCTTTGCCAATGACAATTCAGCATGGAATTCTGGTGGAGCAATTCAGGTGCCCAAACATGGCCATCTAGTACTGACTTAGATGCTCTCAAGATATCCCACGTGGGGTCCAGCCACTGCTCTAGGGTGGATGGGTCTCCCATAAGCTCTATATGATATCCACAAAGCCTGTGCAGACGTGTCAGATAACATTTAACATGGCGAGAGCCAAAAGCATTTTTCATTTTTCTCTGTCTAGCCAAAATCGTTTGCCAAATGGAATAGAACTGCACTTTATTGCAGGTTATTCAAAATATCATTAATTTTTTTCACTGAGAAAAAGATGTCCACACTCAATCATGGTGGCAGCCTTGACACCTGAGCACAAGTGGCTCTTGAGGAAGATATACAGTCCTTTACAGTAATCACATCCTTTCTCTTTGGAGAGTGTTCCCCAGTGATGCTGTCAGAGTTCAGGACCATAATTGTGTCCATGTTTTGGCCAAATGCTGAATGTCTCTGAATGTTAGGTTCTATTTCCATTGCATTCCCTTCCTTCTTTGGGGTATTACTAAGCTCTCGGTAGCCCTAACCTGGACAGTGCTCTCTGTTTCATGCGGACGGCTGCAATGGCACAAGAGCTGCTGGATCAGTTGCCTCAAACTCCTGGCATTGCCTGAACGATGAGAACAAACACATGGAAAAGAGAGAAGAACAAATGAGAGACAAAAGTACAAAGCCCCGTGCCCATCCCCTTACCCAAGACAGGCTTGGAAATAATATGAGGGACATGATAGGATAGGGCTGAGTCGGTCACAATCTAGCTATGAATTTGTAAGGTGGTGTCTGGGACATTTCAGAATAAATATTCCTGTGCAATATCTGTTCCTCAAAGACAGGAATTAAACCATTACAAAGTTGTCTTTGCAGATAATATTCATAGATCAGAAAAAACCAACACAACAAACCAAAAGCAGGACTACTAACACAGCAAGCAATCATGGGATAAAATGCTGTGACACGAGGTTTCTGCAGTCCACAAAGAGAATGTGACTTGGAGGACAAATGTGGCAAAGGAGGTAAGAATTTGGGAAATAGTTCAAAGACAAAATATATCAACAGACTGAACGTGAAAAGTGCAAAGGGATGAGGAGTAATGGGTTACAACATGGGTTGTAACAACAATGTAGTTATGGGAATCGAAAAGACCAGAATTATACTCCCAGGCAGGATAGTCAAGAGTTAGCAAAGAGCAGGAGAGAATTTCATGCTGTTGTAAACAAGGCTGTGGAGGAATTTTGGTCAGAAACAATGATAGCTGAAAACTACAAACAGCAAGGCCTCATGGAGTCATTCCAGTACCACTTCCTCTTGTCGTTCCTGGGTCACTCAGTACTATCTTCACATAAAATGTCTCACACACTGTCCTTGTTTTCATATGTGATTCTTTTTCTGCTTTGGTAGGGAAGGTGGATGGCTGCTCCAGCACTCCACTGCTGTGAAAGCATAGCATGGGTTTTTCTATGCCTTAGAGGTTTAGTCATACATGAGGGATGTTAATGAACCAGAATGTGCTATATGCTGTATTATATGCAAACCCCTGGGTGCCTAAAAGCATGAGCTAGAGCCCTATCCTCTGTATTTGTTCTCAACACTGGGCTACATCTCTGTGCTTACTCACTCTCTGCATGTTTCAGGATGCATAAAGGAGAAAAACAACTCATCATCCTGTATCAAATACACATGATATATGAATCAGAAATGTGCTATGAGTACAGTCTTGAGAGCAAAGCTAATATAGGCTGGGTTGGTAAACAAAGAACGCAATACATCAGTATTTGTTCACCATGTTAATGTAGCTGAATCAAAGAGGGGCATATCTAAGGGAGGAACTGTTCAGTTTTGGAGAAGGCTGAACAACAGCCTAAGCTACTCAAAAACCAAGTGCAGATGTTTAGATCTCAGGCAGCTTTCCCCAGGGAAATTAATCCATGTGGTGAAGAAGCCAAGAGACCTTCCATGCAGACTCTCCAGAAAATGTCCAAGGAGATGTTATTGCAAAGGGTGAAGTGGGGAGAACTAAAAGAGAGAGAGCATCTTTAGTGGGCCTACTTTGGCCATGCTCTCTGAGGGATCACAACAGAAGATCTTTCCAGGTACAGTACACTGATTTTGAGGTGCACTAAGAAAGTATCTTTAATACTGGAACGGCAGAGAAAGCTCTTTCTCAGTCTCTGGGAAACTAGCACCCTGCACAGGCATGTACACACAGTTAGCGTGAAAGCTGCCCCAAGCTGGCTAGGATGTGTTTGAGGCATGCCAGAAGTTACCATACCTGAGTGTTGCTGGGGCTCCAAAGTTTCAGTCATTTGTTTAAGAGGACTTGTCAGGCCATTTGGCTCCTCTGGGTAACTGGGAGTGGGACTTGGGGACCGAGGCAGCTGTTATGGAAAGGAGAGAAGATAAAGTCCACCTTGTGTCATTTCTTTCTCAGCCCCTCCAAATGCCTTACTGCTTCTTAAGCAGTCTCTGTGTTGCAGTCTCTCCACTTGTCTCCCTCACCTCTCCCTTCTCATCTGTATCCTCATCCTCATCAACATAAGCAAAGGAGTCATGCTTCAGCTTTGGCAGGTTTGCCCAGGGTCCCTGGCTGTATCCATCGTAGGGTGCCTCAGACAGCTTCTGCTGCATTTCTCTGTTGAGGAGCTGTCGTCGTTCTGGGCTTATATGTCTCTGGAGGAGAGCTTGCAGTTCAGATCGCTCTACAGACCCCAGAAGGATCATGGTTTCTGCATAACACGGAGCAGAGAAGCCATTAAGCCACTTCAAGGTTTTGAATGTCCCTTTCCTCCCTCAAGGCTCTTCAAAGTGCTCAGGCTCGTTCTGTCTAGAGCTATACAAAAGTCATTAACCAGCCGTGCTAGTTGCTACTAGGCTGTGGGAAGGAAGCTCACCGTTCCTGAGCTGTGCCACTCCTCAGCACCACGTCAGAAGGAGGCTCTTTACTAATGCAAGATCCCAGGAGGGCCCTGTTATCTCAGTTCAGTCTACAAACTTCCCACACACCTCCCCTGTGTGCTATATCTGCATCCCGCCCACTCTCCAGCTTACCTGTCTGACCAGCTGGAACAGCCTGCTGTCATACATCATCCACAGAGAAAGAATTTTAGGGAGATTTTTTGTGTAGGAGGTTCACACTCTCTGTTTCACAGCATGTAATTTGAAAGCTAGTTTCTTTGTCTCTTTAAGCTGAGACAGTCTTCAGGAGAGACAAGTTTCTTCACATTGCTTACCTGGTGAGTCCACCAAAGGCAAAGTCTTCACTGTGGTGCTTTGGAGTACAGTTTGCAAGTCTCGGTATTTACAGTTGGAGGAGACAAATTTCACATCTTGGACCATAATATCCTCCACAAAGATATTGTATTTGCTGTGAGTTTGTGGACAATAAGAGGAAGAGTTAACGTATTAACAATGCCTAGCGATAAATTCCCTAAAGAAATACATAAATGACCACTTCTTTAAAAAGTGAAAGTTGAAATTACAAATACCAAATTATCTTCTGCATGACTAACCAGAGGACTTTCCAACAGGATCAATGCAGACTAACTGGGTATTCCTTACAGTTGTATTCCACCCCATTACCCTGCACCAAAAAATATACACATATATATAGATGTTTTTTATGTATTTACCTATGTATATTACATATCCTAGAGAGAGGAAGTTGTATATATGAATAACTGAATTTTGCTTCAAGAAAAATATCCAAATAAAATAGTATTTCAAACAATCACTAGAAAAAAAAAACTCAAACCCCACTGAATTAAGATAAATTAAATTCTCTATTTTTAATTTTTTTAATTAAAGCAATTTGGCAATTTTCATATAGATTCAGTAACACTGCAGGTCATTCAAACCCATGCTTCCAGTGAAAAAAGAGGACTTGTCTCTATTTTTGTGTATGAACTCTAATTCTGCTCCACCACTTGTTTTTTTTGCGCTGCAAGCCTTTTCTGTCTTTTTATTTCCTTTGTAGTACTATCCCTTTTTCATAACTTTTTTTTCTCCTGTGGTCTTATCCTTTTCTGCTTTACTTCTTTGCCACTCCCTGCCTCCACCTCTGTTTGACAACTATACCTTATGTGATTCCAGCCCAGGTCTGGCAGGTAGGGCAACTTCTTCACCTGGATGATGCTGTCATAGAGACTGGGCTGCAAACTCTGGGCCACCATGTTGGCAAGAATGACAGCCACCATCATAGGGAGGATGTGAGAGATCTGACCTGTCAGCTCGAAGCAGATCACAGCAGTGGAGACAGTGTGGCTCACGGCTCCTGTCAAAGCTGCTGCACCTTTCCCAGGTAGGGTGGAAAAGGAATAGGGAGAGAAGACTATCATATAGCAACAGCATGTCATGTCAACCGGGAAAGTTACGACGATGGGACCAGGTGGAGAAAAAGAAAAGACATGGAGACTCACCAATGACAGCATAACCTCCAGGTAAGATTTGATAAACAATATCATCAAAGAGGATTCCGTTGGGAAAAAGTGCTGCCATGATTTCCCCAATAAGACGTCCAAATGCAGCACCTGAAAAATATCACTGACAGTTACAGAATTAACATTTCAGGAACATCCAGTCTGTCCTGTGCACCTGTGCTGGGCAATTACTTGAATATTTTCTAACAGAAACAAAGCCAAACCTTACATTAAAATGACACTGAGGACTAAAAAGTAGTTCTCAGTTACAAAATACAGAAGTTAGATTCCAGGAGGAAAAAAGGATACTAGGAATGTAAATACAGTTGAGCCCTCATTCATCCACTTGGACACATCAGGCACAGCAGTACCTATGCTCCTCAGGGAGGAGGGTATATTTTCAAACTGTGTACCATGCCAGTCTAAATCACAGTTGAGGCCCTTCAGACTCTCATTCTGTGAATGTCCAAACATTAGAATTGCAGCTTACAGAAAAGTTTAGGTGGGAAGGGACTTTTGGAGGTCTTGTTCTGATCCCTGCTCAGAACAGGGCTAATTTCAAAGTGAGATCAAGTCACCCATGGCCTTGTCCAGACAGGTTTTACAATTCTGCAAGGATTTTTCATATTGGTGGACACAAAATGACACAATATTCCAGAATTGTGTCCAAAATGCTGAATGCAGGGAAATGACCAATTTCTTTGCCTTGCTGGCTAGGTTTTTCCTAATATAACTTTGTCTGTAGTTAGCCATCATCACTGCAAGGGCATGCTACTGACTCATGTTCAGTTGCTGCCTGCAAGAACACAGAGGTCCTTAGAGCACATTATTATGTTTGAGTTATGGATACTTAATGCTGAACTTCATGAGCTTGTATAATTCAGTCTAATTTAGCCTCTCTTTCTTAACATTACCATAATAGTAATTTCATTTTTGTTATTGGAATTAAAATCAGTTAAAAAAGCAATAAACTTCTGTCTGTTATCACATTTCAGTCAGAAGAAATGAAGAAGTCATAGATTACATAGCAGGTAGTAGTTTTGAGGTTGTCTCTTCTAGCTGGCCTTAAGGGGTGAAAAGAGCAAGTACTACAAATTGTAGGATGAAAGTTTCTCTGTAGGTGAAGAGGCAGAGACATTAGAAGACCATGGCTCAGCGTGTCTTCCCACAGTATGGCTTTCCTTATGTAGAAGGACAGGGATTTTCTCCTCAGCATTTGGTTTTGGGGGTCGGGAGAATGGCGAAAACAGAGACTCAGAGGCTGGTGTATGGACTGCTAATCAAGCTTGTCGTAGAGATCAAGTGATGACCCCTCATACACTAGAAGAAACCTGCTGGGTATGTGTGCAGCGACTCTCTTTTCCTCCCCACCTGTCAGACATCTATGTTGTAACACAGAACTGAGACTCACCTAATACGAAAACAGGCATGAAGCCTCCACAGGGGATTGGCATCGTAGTAAAAACAGCAGACATGCAGAACTGGAACAGAGGCAGAGAGTGCAGTTGTTACTGAGCAGCAATAGCATTTCCTGCTGCCCCACTCTACTGCCCCTCCTATGAATCTGTGAGGAATCACTTTCTGAGGGATCTGGCAGTTCAGACAGAAAGTGAAGGATAAAGGGGCTGTGAGGCATGAAAGGGAGCTGGAGGAATTCTGGCAACACACCAACACTGATGCAGAGGACCTCTGCGTGACCCCTGTGGTGGCAGGGAAGCTGAATCACCAAGGGGATGGTTGAACATGAGAACTCCTTTGCCTTGGACCTCAGGAGATGGTATTTCCTACTGCTCCAAACATTTTAGCTTTCTGTAGAACAGGGTTGCCAAAAATTCACTGACTCGGAAAGATTTCAGTACAAAGGGAATTCTGGAGGCCTTTTCCCCAACATTCTCCCAGAATGGCCAGCTCCTAAGTTAGATGGGATTGCTCAGGGGCTTCTCCAGGTGAGTTCTAAACATCTTGAAGGGTGGAGATTCCCCAACTTTTCTGGGCATTTGCGCTCCTGCTGACCCACAGTCAAGAAAATTTTTTCCTGAAGTATAACTCCTAAATTTCATTTATTCAAGCTTGTGTCTGTTGCCTTTTGTGTTATCACTACATTGGTCAAAATAATGAAATCTGTTCTGGTATTGCTAAGACCAATTCAAATACTGACTTAGCCCAGCACATACAGACTTCTTCTGGAGGCAACAGTTTTAAAAATACTTCAAAGGCCAATGTGCTTGGGGTTTCTCAGGCAATACGACAAGAGATTCCCACAGCTGAGGGGAAAGAGAATGCTGCAGTTTCAAAAGCTTGTACAAAATGTGCTGGCAAGATATCCCTTAATTCCCCAGTATCATCCATAGGAGAGAGATAGCCATGGTCCAGCACACCAAGAGCAATACTTTCAGGTATTTCAGGATCATGCTCTCCTCAGAGTGGGCAAATCCTTCCAGCTTAAGGAGGTGATGCCTCTCTAGAGATCATTCTAGCTGTAGACAGCTGAGATACTAATCCTTTAACAGTTAGTTTGGTGAGGGGAAATCCACCAAAGACGGCTTTACCATTGTAACTCTCATAGGATAGTTGGCTTAAAAGGGAAAATGAAGCCAAGATATAGTTCTATATATTTAGGAAAGCTCTCTGTGAAGGCAGAGAGCCAGCAGAACAGCATTTCTCTACCCACAATAGAGGAACATGCTGTGAGGATGGGTTGGACCATCAATTTGGTACTGGCTGTTGCTATTCCTTCCATAAGCCATTTGAGGAAAAGTTCCTGGCTGGCTACTGAGGCCAGCAAGCTGCAGAAATGGAGTACTGCTAACTAAGTTCTGTCTTTGCAGTACCAAACCTGGCCAAATACAGCTTTGTATTGTAGAGAACTGGAACTATGGTGCAGTGGAGACTCAGGCCAAGGCTTTGCCCAGAGGAAAAACAGCAGTTTCTTGTTTATGTGGTCTATGTTAACTCTGAACATATCCAGAAAAAAATAAACTGCTTGGCACAGTTATCTAGTGAGTTGAGAAAGCCTTTAATTAGTAGGACAAGGCCAATGAATCTAGTGTCTGAGGATGCAGCTCTTCTAAAAACAAACAGATGGATTTGGGAGAGATACACCATGTAGTCCATACCTCTTTTATTCAACTAAAGGAGATCTTATCTGCTTGGAACACTATAATAAGAATGATCACAGAAGCAGAACCCTTAACCTCCTGTCAGAAATTCGATAGACTGTTTTACTTTAGGTGGAAACAGCTGTGTCAATCACTCATTGATGTCCATTCCTGATCTACTGAAATGTTTGACTGACATTGCAAGGTGGCCTCAGCTCTTCTGTTCCTTTGCAATAAAAAGGAAAAAATAGGATCTTTTCTATGATATTTTCATCCTTTCATATATTTTTTTTCCATCTTAGGAAAACATCTTTCTTCCTACTTGTTTTTTGAAAACTGGAATACCATGTTTTCTTCTCTCCAATGTTTTCTTTTGTTCTGTCCTGTATCAGTTACACAGCTGATCCTTTCAAGGCTGAACAGTTGCAACTTCCATACACCATGTCAGCTCAGAACTTTTAATCTGCTCTTGCTGTCTGAGAAGTAAAACTGTTTTCAGATGTATTTCTTCATCAAATTATGCTAAACAAAGAAATCGTAACAAATCCTTGATCCTCACATATTCTTATTTGTCTCCTATCTGTAGTCAGGAATATAAAATAGACTGTATCAAAATTTATTTAGATCAAATATATCAGATAATATATCTGGGAGCTTTTAGTCAAGTATTTATTTTTGTGGAATTTGATAAATCTTTCCTAATGTAGTCCTCCCTACCAGCATCTATATAGTGAATATCAAGGTCATGCATCAGGATGTGTGAGGAGATTGACCTAGGGAGCAGTGCTTCCTACCTTCACGAGGAAGAAGAGCAGGATGATAATGAAGATGCTGACTTTAGGATGGATCCAAGCAGCAGATTTGCCTAGGATCTGAGTGTCCCCAGTGTGTTTTATCCAGGTATAGTTATCAAAAAGAGTGCTGATGGCTTCCCGTGGCATCAACTGAACAGCAAAAAACCAGGTATGAGTCATGAGATTCAATGGAGTAAGTATTCTAACTGTTGCAAGAAAGCGGAGGAGATTTTTACTTTGGTAGTTCATGATTACTACACTTAATTCACATTTTTAATCTTCAGGAAGAGAGATAAAACTTTACCTGAACAGGTGAAAGGATAACTACTTTTACACATGGGGTAACATCTTCCTTATTATTTGCTTAAGAAAGTGGACCTATTCCAAGTTTTATGTGAAGGAGATAGCAGAGATCATATAGTGCCTCCTCAGTCCAAACTCCTCCCATATCTTTCTTCCCCTTTCCATGATGCAAAGTTATTGGGGCCCAGGATAAGAAGAGATCGTTCTGCAGAATTGCACAGAATTTCTAATACACATTCCACTCTCACCTCTCCTGCCATGAACTGGCCAAATCCAGGAGGAAATGTCGCAGTTGCTATAAGGAAGGTTATAACCCCAGGGTATATGAGTCGGCTGTAAAGGAAGAAAAATTTATTAAAATGTGACCTTATATTCTGTTCTTATAGCACTATCACTTCAGGACTATGAATGCTACTTCTGTGAAAGCTCTCTGTACCTGTATCCTGTGCTTTGGAGTGCTGTTACTGCCTCCACTTATCATCATAATTCATAGAGAGTTCACCTGTCAGCAAAGCCCTTTTTCCCATCAGAGTTAATGTAATGGGAGGGATGGAGGAAGAGAGGGGGATGTACAAAATGCACAAACTTGAATACGCAGGGAGGAAACGTGTGTTTGCAATGATGTGTCGACCTATTGTCAAAAGCCAGTACCTCCTCCATTTCTCCTGATTATGCTGGTCTTGCTTCTTCATCCCCCATGCAATGTATCCTGTCCTAGTGGGTTTAAATGTACATTCAGACACACCCTATTGCATTGAATCTTATGGGAAAAACTGCTTCTCTTTCCATGGAATTGCTGACCGTCACAATTCTGGGGAAGGTGTCCTTGGTAGCTAGTGGGTCTAGGTGTGCTGGGCTAGTGGGCCATGGATGAACAGCAGGCCAAAGCCATCTGTGTTTTCCTACTGCTGTGTCCAGTCCCAGTGTAGGTTTCTGGGTAAACTGAGACACTTCATGAGCACTAGGACAACACTAAGCTACCTCCACGTACTGGACTAATCCTGTCATGTCTCCCCTGGCAAGTCACTGTGTTCATTATAGGAAGTGTTTTCTGAGATGCTGTGGTATTCAGGAAGGGAAAATATAAACTTCAATTTCTTTCAGTTCAAGGACCTACAAAATTCTGAAAAAGTTTAAAGTAAATTCCCACTTTGCAGGCTTTGCTTCACTTCACTATTAACTTAATTTGATGGCCCTGCTGATGCTTGTGGGTAATGCTACATAATGAAGAACAACAATTTGTTTTCCACATAAGAAAATAAGTTAGTTTGAATTTCTATTTATCTAGTAGTTTTATTCTGCTCAGGTTTGCAACTTGTTAAGAAATGTAGGCCCTCCCCACCTCTCATAGCATCAGATTTCTTGTTAAAGAGACTGAAGTTAATTACAGTTTAGTCATTTTTTCTTCAGACTATAACTTTGGAGGTTAGGACTTTATTAGAGAGGGGGAAAATATTATCTATCTAATCAGTAGTTTTCCTTGTCCTCTTAATGAATATTACAGTCACCCTTCTAAACCAGAAAACTATTTGAAACAACTGGGGCTGATCAAGAAGAAAACCCAGTGCAGAAAAATTCTCTTGATGGTTACAGAGATCTTACTCTTATACCAGAACAATTTCTCATATTTTTACTGTCTCACACTTGAAATATTGTAATACCTTCCAGAAAGCATTTGTTACTATCCAATAGCAGTAGGGTGTAGAAATCTGGTCCCTAAAGAGAGTATCTTCAAAGGCACTCACTATTTGGTGAGAAACTGGCTCAGAGCCTTGTGACGCCGGATGCACAGGACCACTTGGCGATTGAGATAAACAAAAAACGCTCCAAGGAACCCGGAACATATGCTAATATGGAGAAAAATAAATAAAATCATAAAAAACCAACAGATAATGCGCAAACCATCAACCAAGAAAAAGAGTTTAAGTGGTTTCATCTTCAGCTGTTACGAAGTCTTAAATGTCACCTAAAGGGTTACTCCTACAGCAACTCATTTGAAGACATTGACTCCCTGATGAAAGGGAAGAGATTATTTTGGATCTCTTTTGTCATTCACACTGTGATTTTACCACTTAAATTTTCTCTGGCTTGGAGTGGGAAATCTCATCTATAAAAATCTGTAAAATAATCTATAAAAAGTGATTGCAAGTTCTCAGTGGGGGCTGTCAAAGAGCAACTGGACAAAGACCAGTATTATCAGAAATTAAATATCAGGTTGGAACAGGAAATAGTAAAAATGAAGGAAATTTGAGTCAGCAAAATTATATGCCTAAAACAAATACTAAAAGTAATAGCAACTCTTGTGCCTAAAGCAAAGTATGTCATCTCTATGATTCTAATCACCTAGCCTAAGTTTCCAATCTTAATACAGTAAAAAGAAATTATAATTGGCTAAGAACTGGTCTTGATCCTTATACTCTGTAGCTTAATGAAACTAGGATAAATAGGGCCTAATATTGACAGGTGAAATAATTAAAGAAAAAGAATGAAAAAGTCTACTTTCGAAATTTGTAAGGGGAAGCCTTGTTTTATGTGGCCCATAACTAATTCTCATGATATTGAGAATAAACAGATAAGATTTTCATTCTAATAATTTTAAAAATTAACGGATTTTTCCTTTGTTATATGCTATGCATGCTTTTGCCAAATCTCAAAGATTAATTTAGTATACTTAAAACATTGCATGTTGAAAAAAATCCTGCTTGATCATTTAAAAATTGCATAGAAACAAGTTTAAACTAAATGTACATGTTCACAAACAAACATGTTCAGTGAGCTACTCTTACATACTTTAAGCAAGCACTGTTTAGAACTACAGTTAAAATAGACCAGGCAATGTAAGTGTAAGAACTTCACAGTGAACTAAATTTCTCTGTAATACCTTGTTTTAAAAAATAGGTCTCTCCATTCACAACAAAGTAGATACCTATTACTAGCAAGAACTCCTGTATATGTATAGATTTTCAATATATCTGATGTCTTCAAAAAAATCCCACTTGAGTTCATATTCAAATAATATATATATAAAATATATATATTTTTATATAGATAAAATATATTCAAATAATATATATATATATAAAATAGGAGGGCAGCTTACTAAAAGGAGCTGGAAAACTTCAAATACATTCCTACTCTGGGATCCCGGTCTTGCAACACAGTATGCTCACAACATCAGCACAGGTGTTTGTTCTTACAGTGCATTCCCTTCATTACTGCTCTGCAGTGATTTCCCTGGAGCCTCTATCAAGCTCTAACCAGAGATGTTTCCTCACAGCAATTCCAATTTCAGGTTTTCTTAGTATTTCCAAATTTTTATTCTTCTTAAGTTCATTCTTTCATTTCCCAGAATTTCATCCACAAATGAAACCAACTCAGATATCTCCATAAGTAAAATAAAACTGATGCTCATCTTAATAAATTAACCATTGTTCTCACTGAATCCAATTACAGTTCAGTTACCCTTGCCAGCATGTTGGGTGTACGAACTTCTCTTGAAAACGATAACTATTCTGACCTGGTGAAAATGAAACTTCTGGTTAAATCTTTTGTCCCATTTTTGTCATGTGAAAAGGCCATACTTGTTGGATCAGTTCATTTGGGGTGCCATCAAAACAGTTAAAGGGCCATTCAGCAAATATACTCTCAGAACTTCAACCAAGTTAAACTTACTATTTTTTTTCCCCTTATAGTCTAATTTCTGAAGAAGATATATGGAAAGAAAATGACAAACAGCTTGGTAATATCCACATTTCCTTCTTTACCCATTTTGCTAGAGAGGCACCATCTGAAGAAGGAATTCCAACAACTAGAAGCCTTATTTGTGACAACCAAAGTGTCTAAAAGTGATGTATGTAACTATTTGGCAGAAGAATTCCTAACAGAGATCACTTTATAACTTTGTGGAGCAAAGAGTCGGTTTCCCAGGAACTTACCCTATTATAGCAAATGCTGGCAGCTCTTTCAGATCAAAGGGGAAATCCATACGGAAGTTTGTTCTGAACAGGGCTGTGATGGTGTCTGTGAGAGAACAAGGAGGTAGAGGAGGAAAGGTGATAAGGAGGTGAGAAGTTAAACACCATAAAATCTAGGGGTAGGGACAAGGAAACTAGTTTATATGTGCTCCTGTGTGGTTTCATGACATTATATACAGTATTACAGACTGGCAGACTGCTCTGATTTTAGTAGTGCCTATTGCTGAGCACTTGCAACCCTAGATGGCATAGATTTGTTTTAAGAGACTGTATACATTTTTTAACTACAATCCCAGATTTTTAAAGGGTTTTTTTTCTTTCTTTCTTGTCTTCTACCATCCCTTCACTATTGCAAAAATAAAGCTCTGTTCACTATACTCACTGACTTTGAAAAGGTCTCTTTGCTGAGGCAGGCAGTGCTTGCATTATCTGGAGAAGATGTTGTGATTGCCTTCTAGAAACAAAACTCAGATCCTCTCTGAAGTTACATCTGCAAAATTTTTGACTGGTACCAAAACAATGAAAGGCTTAGAAATCAGAGATGGAAAAGACCATCTAAGTCCCATCTTCTCCAGCTCACTCCTCCTGGTAGTGTTGTCCTGCTAAAATGAAATATTGAAACCTGTCTTACTTTTATCTGAAGGTACATTATTTTGTGGAAGCAGTACATATCTGTATGCCAACGGGTGAAGTACAAATTAGCAATTTAATACAGAGTGGAAATGCAGCTGAATGACGATGGATATAAATCCCAATTTGCCCTGGATGAAGGGATTATTTGCAAAGTGAGGAAATAAAAGGAGCAGTGAAAATCTAGCATTGTATAGCAATGACAGGAGGCATTAATTACTTTTTAGCTGTTCAGGCAGCACTAGGTTTAGGGCAATGATTTAATCAGGTCTCTGTGGGTTACATTAGCTAAGATAACTGCATGCTACTTTCCAAATTGGAAAGATCTTGTTCCCTGCCTCTTCATCGTGTTCATTCCCTCCCAGCTGCGCTGTTCTCTCCCACCAGGCCCATTCCCACAGCCTTCACTTAGTTCTTTCATCTCATTGCAACTTGACAGAAAACCTATCTGCTCTTTTCCTGGATTAGTCCTCTGCCAGGAAAGTGAGTTGAACCAACTCTGTGTGTTGTCCAGCAAACATGGAGATGGTACCAGGGAGGGGAATGGAAGACGGTGAAAAGCAAGATGTCCTCTTTTTTTGTTAAATCAGCCCAAAAAAGGGATCATCTCAATACAGTTTTAGGAAGCAGACAGTCCAAGCCACCAAATGACAATGCATTAAAAAGTATAGTAGGGCTCATTTTCAAAGAGTTTTGCCACAGGGTGACCAGAGCAAAGGGAAACAGTCACAGCACTTAGTCTGAGTCTTTCTAGGTTCCCTCTCTACTCCCACAAGACAGAAAGAGCTTTCCACAGAAAGTCTCACCACACCTGTCTTCATTCTCTTTCCTGAGTGATTAACCCATCCTGAAACTGAATGTCTAAGCCCTTTTCTCTCCATTGGCTACATACTTGACCAGTTTAGAGTAGATGCTCAATTCTTGCAAGGTTAGAAAAAGTAAAAAGAAATGAGAAAGTCTGGTTAATGTGAAGTCTACTTAAAAATAGCTTTGAACTTTAAAATAACGTGTAAACATTTTTAAACAAGATGTAGAAGCGATCAGAAGGAGCGGGAGGAAGGCAAGGCATAAAACACTATGGCAAATAAGATGAAAGTTCAGGACATGGTAAAGCAGAAGTTCTAAAAATTGTAGAACTCCAGTCTTCCATGGCTGGCAAACAGGGGCTTAAGCTTCAGCAGTCAAAGAGAGCGGGACAGATGTTATTTGGAAAGTACAGATAATGGTGTAAAGCCAGCCAAGAAAGCCATGAGTATCCAGAAGCAGGCAAAGATTTTGTGGGTCTAAGAAGTAAAAGAGTTTTGGTGAGGTGCTACACATCTTAATTGCATCTGTCACTCTGATGTGATCGCTTCCCTGCCTGCTACTTCCTGGTAGCAGGCATAACAGAAAAACCCTTGCATGAACAGAGACTGAAAAGACAGGGCTTGTAACTTCCAAGGGAAATGAGCAAGAAAAGACATGAAAGATAAGTTAGAACAGGCATAATAAATGATCATAAAATAATGAATGACTTAGCTAGACAAAAATTTTTAGTTCCGTAATACAAGAACAAGGAGATTGGCAACAGAGACAAAGAAAACTCAGAACTATGAAAAGGAACAATTTTTCATAGACAATTAAATCATGGAGCTTTTTAAGCCAGTCAGTCAATGAAGCAGCCATTAATATGGATATTAAAGCTGTCTGGATGATTTCGAAGATGGGACAGGAGTCAAGATGTTTCAGGATTAAGCTGATTTCTAGTGATTTGAGAGAGTAGATAAAGTGAAAGATGGGAGATTATCTCCTGTTACCTCCCTTTGAATTTCTTATTTCTTTTATGGAAAGAACAGAAAGACTGGGGGGAGGGGTGTTTTGTGACAAATCTAATGGTTGAATACCCCTGGGTTTAAAGCACTGTGACACAAAGATGTAGTCACTTTCTACATTCAAGTAGAAACTGTAGTTATTTCCTATATTCAAACCCCAAAAAATCCAGCCCTGTGAAGCCAAGAGACACAAATTACAGCTCTTTTGACTAAGTAAACTGCTCACATGAAACTCAGATCAATGAAATAGATGTAACTGTAAGAATGAAATAAAAAGGCATTATAAGGAAGACATGTACATAGAAATGGCATCCTTCTGCACCAGAGCTCTATTCCTGCAGTGTCTGAGATGCTTTCCTGAACAAGCTTGCCCTGTGCTATTTCTGTCTGCACAAATGTCACTCTCATGCTTTTCAGTTACTTGAGACAGTTATTTTTTCAGAACCTTCAGTCATATCCTACCAATCCTGTAGCCTCTTAACCATTTAATCATCTCAATTTTCTTGACTATTTGTTTTAATATTTTTAGTCAAGATGTAACCAAAGTAGACCATGGTATTTCCATCAGATTGCAGCAGCATGCACTGGGGTAGGTATTGCATTCTCTGTGATGGGATATCTCTATATCTGCAGCCTTCATGTTATTTTGAGTAGAGGCAAAACTCTCACCTCAGGGGCCCTTTTGCTCGCCAAACACTCATATTCTGTCATTTATCAGTCACAGCCCCAGCACACTTAGGAATAGGTTAGGTGAGACAATCTATGATAAGACACTTCTCTTTCTCTTCTCTTCTGTACTGCTGAAAGTCCCATGTTATGGCAGAAGTTTCAAATGCCATAGAACATTGTGGTTTTGAGAAAGGTGGAAAGCAATGCATTAATACAGCAGTTTTCGTACAAAGATAGTAGCTCTTAGCTTACCTGCATCCTTGTTCCAAACAGCAAGAACTCGGAAAATGAAGGCACTAAAGGTAGCTGCAAAGAAACCTCTCCAATAATTGCGCACAGCAAAGTAAGTGGAAGTGACCTCAATGCTGAAAAGCACCCCTAGAAAGAGTTGGAGAGGGAGCAAAGTTAAAATCAGAAGTGCAATGTTAGAAGCATGAGAGAAGCTTCTAAATAGCCTTCTAGAGCAGTGGTCTCCACACTTATTTGATCACATGCCCCTATCAATAAAAGATTTTTGAGCATGTACCCTCCCTATTGCAAATGTATTTATTTAAAAATAATATGCATGTATTACTGTACTAAAATATTATGTGCAATATAAAACATACATAAAAAGTAAATTAAAAAATTATGAGATTATAAAATAAAAATTTTAAAAAACTGTTTTATTTATTAATGGAGCAAAAAAATTTTGTTCTCACTTTGAAGTATATCAAGTGCATATGTCAAGAATGCTTATTTTTTCAAAAATAACTGCTAGGTAGCATGCTACTGACAGGCTCCTGTCATCACAGAAAAGATCAGCAAATTCAGAACACTTGTCTTTTTTGTAAAAGAAAAATGTGTAACTGGTCTTTAAATTCAGTTGCCACGAGATTATCAGCAAATGCTTGTAGAATTTTCATGGTCACTCCTCCCTCCCCCCGCCATCTCATTACAATGTATTGTAAAGATTCTACTGTTTCAGTCTTGTTTTTATGAAATGAAGCACATCAACAATATCCTGCAGCACCTTGTGCATGTCTGGCTCCCATTTCTTTGCTGCAATAGCTCATCCATGAACACCATAGTGAACAAATTCCCAATGTGGCGCTATCAATGTAACCTTTCCACCCAGTCCTTCTCTTAGTCCACTCCACAGCTTTTCCATAAAATATTTTTATTAAAGAAGTGATTTACTGTTGAGAACACAGCTTCTGTATTAGATCATTCCTTCAGTGACTCATAGAAAGTAGTTCCGCATGTATTCCACTATTGAAACAGAATTTGGCAAATACCATAATGTGAGCCATTTCAGAAACACCTCTACTTTCATCCATCCAAACAGGAAGCTGCTTTCAGAGTGTAATTTGTACAGATATCCGTTTCTTCAAACCTTTAGCAGTGTTTCTTATGTATCTTTCCATAGTGTTTGCTGATGAAGGAATGCATTTTAGTTTGCGGCTCTATTGCTTTCTGTTTATTATTGCAGACATTTTTACCTTGGCAGGAAGAACAAGTGTTTTCTCGGTGATATGTGGTTTTTTGTATTTTGATGTGAAGCAAGAAAAACCTTCCTGTCTTCTACACATTTGTCATTAAGTTCAGTGAAATTTTGTGCTGTATTGAATGACACATGACTTGACACATCACTAAAAAAATTGTAGAGGCTTGTCTTCATGTTCTGGATGCTTAGATTTTAAATGTCTTGCTAGTTCTGATGGCTTCATACCACCATTAGTGAACTTATCAAAGCACAATACACACTTAGGGTGAGATTCATCATTAATGATAGCAGATGTAAATCCATATTTCAAATAGCCTTTGATAATTTTGATTTTTTTGTCCAACTTCTTGTCAGGTCTGATTAGCTGACCACTGCTGTACCTCACAGTGTGGCTGAATAACAGCCTGTACTAGAAGTGTCAGCTCTGCCATTTTCTTGTCATTTGTCTGAGCTTGCATTATTAGTATTATCTTCAATCCATGGCCTCTTTACAGGGAGCTTTTTAAGTCACTTGTCCAATTTGTGAGGATTAGTTTAGTTAACACTAGATAACATAATCCATAAATCCACTTAATCCAATGTGGTCACATATTGATTGCAGTACATTGCAATATGCTGAAAGAAAGCATATGACTGAGGCAGCGTGGTCAACCCTCTGCTTTGGGAACAACCCTCATGCACTGTATGCCATAACTGGCCATATGACATAAGAGGGCTCCACTGCCAATACGTATACTTAATGTTAGCAAAGTTTAATTAATTTTTTGTATTAAAAAAATTAAAAATTCTTATATTTTCTTCCCACGCCCAATCGATCACCTTGTGCGCCCCCTGGGATACGCACACCCCAGCTTGGAGACCACTGTTCTAGAGAGCCTTCCCCTCTTGCCTCCAGAAGGTGGACAACACGTGGGAAAAAATACTGTGTTAGAGATGCTGGAGAGGTTGGTAACAGTAAAGGTAAGCTTCTTTGTCCAAAGTAAATGACAGATCAAAAATGTGGTGCAGCAAAGGGGAATAGGAGGGGAGGACTAGGCAGGAGAGGATTTAGGTACCTGAGAGAAAGGAAACAGAACAGCCACTTGCCTCCAAGTGGTGTCCCAAAGCAGCAGCCAACGCCCACAGCACACCCCACAGTCAGGACATCCGTGTAATAATATGGCTGCTACTGGTGAAAGAGACAGAGAGACAGACAAACAGAAGAAAGAAGGAAAGAAATCAGAGAGTGAGTAACGAAATTGGTAGGTATGGCCACATAATGTCACCCAGCTCTGTCACCAGTCTGAGCCATAGCTATGTTTATCTTATTTCTCCCTTCTGGATGGCTTCAAAATATTCAACAGACAAGACCTGGCATAGGATAGGCATATACCTGGAAGCACACATTCAAGACATATGAAGAAGGCAGCATCTCATCTTCCATTGAAACATGCACATTTCTGTCACTATAAAAGAAATGTCTCATGGAAAATCTTCCAGAGAATGGAAGGAGCATAAGTAGGTTTCACTCCATCTCTTTTACTTTGGCAGGGAATCTCAGGATGCACTTGTGCCATAGACTGCCCCAAAAAAACCCACCGTGTGGGTCAGTGTGTACAAGGCAGGTCCAGAGCAGAGTGTGGACTCATGCTGAAGGCCCTTTCACACTGGCTAGGTGAGGGGGTAACAGATCACCTAGTAAAACACTGTGCTATCCCGGTGAAAACTATCATGAAAATAAAGGGAATTGGAAGGTATAAAAGGCAGAGTCTTTCTAAGATACTGGGCACCATTAACTTGTCGAGGGCTAAACTGGCTTTTTATATCCATCCTCATTAAAACACAGGGTGGTGTTTATCAGCAACAGTGCCAAGAAGTTATGCATCGTGGGCAATATGATATGAAGTTGCAAGCTATATCCTGGACTAAGGTCAGCTGAAGATTACATGTCTCCCAGGTAATGGAAATCACATATGGCAATTTGGTGTGAATCCAAAAGAGGAACTAGGGCTACAAAAACTGTTATAACTTTCTCTTTGTTCCCATACTACAGTGTTATTATCACAGACTCACAGCAAGTTTTAGTTTGGAAGGTGCTTCTGAGTGCTTCTGTGTCTCTCTATTCAGAGATGGATAACGCCAAGGTTAGTCCAAGGGTTCTAGGATCAAGGTGTTCAGGATCAGGGTGCTATGTGAGCCCTGAACACCTCCAAGAGTGGAGATTCTCTAGCCTCTCTTGGCACTTGTGTCACCCTGAACCTCCTTTTGGGCAAGGGAAGAAATGTTTTTTATGTAAAGATAGAATTTCCCTTGTTGCAAGTTGTGCCTGTTGTCTCTCGTTCTTTCACTGTTCTCTGAGAAGAGTTTGACTATTTTGTCTAAAATCTCCTTTAGCTACTGAAGACAGTAGTTAGACCACTCCTCATTTAGCCTTCTCTTTTCTTCTCTTTCCTCTCCCAGTGAACTATATATCATGTGTCCTGCAGTCTCTGAGACTATGTCAATTCCAGGTACAGAGAAAAAAACCCAAGAAGCATAGGGTTCTACAGAAGGTTTTTTAGTTTTGATTTGTTAACTTTTTTTTTTTTACCATTAAGACAGATGCCATTCTCCTATATACTACCAATGGCTCCATCTGACTGTGGTCTAATCCTTGGTTCTGAACCTGGTTTCTCTCAAGGTTTTTTGGCAGACTGACAAGTTTTGCCTTGAAGCCTCAGGTTTCAGGTCAGACTGTCTGCAACTTGCTGTATTACCCACATACACACAGCTCTCAACCTCTTTCTTGCTGAGCCTGATTTTCTTCCTGGCACATCTTTTCTCAAGTTATCAATTGAAGAACCTCTAATATGTATCTGACAAACTACATTCCTTTTTTTAAAATAGCCCCCCAGAGTAAAGATCATTATTATTATTGGTGCAAGACCATGTTGCATCTGTCAGCTAATCATCACTCATCCATTTGAAGACTAACAGGAAAGTAGTACGGATGAAGTACAGCCAACCTAGAAAAAACCATAGCATTTAAAAACTCCTTAAACTTACAGGCACAATAACCATGGAGAGAGGCTCCAGGCAGTGCACAGGGAGGGAGAGAAGTGAAATGAAGGCACAGCAAAGAATGGAGAATGTTTTAAAGACAAATTATTTATGAATATATTTCCACTGCTTTAGGAAGAAGTTAAGTGCCTCTGGTACACGTGCTGTTTAAAGAAATTCCATGAATCAGAAGACTAGCACAAATATGAGGGGGAGACATAAATTTCCACGTTTGTTCTCAAACTGGGATTACAGAAAAGTGAGAAGGGACCACTGGAGTTGTCTCCTTCCACTGCCTGCTCAGAGTTCTGCTAAATCCAAGGCTAAATCAAGTTCTTGTCCAGGTGAGTCCTGAACATCTCCAAGGGTGGAAATTCCCTGGAAACTGAGCATCTATGCCAGTGCTGAATCACCCCTGGGAGAGTGGAACATAATTTCCTTGAACATAAGTCAAAATTTCCCCTGTTGCAAGTTGTGTCCATTGTGCCTTGCAATATGTCACTCTGGAAAGAGCCTGGATTAATCTTTGCTAAAACCTCCCTTTAGGTGGTTGATGACATTGGTTACACCATACCCCTTCAGCCTTTTCTCCTTTAGGCTGAACAAACCCAGCTTCCTTGGCTTCTCCTCATATACCACTACACCAAACTCCCAACCATCCTATTGGCTCTTTGCACCCCTCTTCTTTAGTGAGGAGTCCAAAACTTCACTTACTGGTGTTTCTGTTCTCCAGTCCATTGATGAAGTATTCATGTAGTAGTTTCCAGTTCACATTATCACTTCCTGTCATAATTGCCATTGCCTCCTGCTCTACTGCTACTCCTTACACTGAAGTGTTTTTTAACTTCCATTCTCTACTCAATCCTTATTGACTTTCTGGACAGCCCTTGGTGCTCTCCAGGTGGAACAATGTCCATGGCAGGCAGGGACTGAACAAGCTGCATCATTAGAAATCAGCACATTAATAGGTGTCACTTTTCCTATAACCTTCCCTTCCTTTTGCTGCCACCTGTTTCACATGAAAAGAAAGAACTCGTTGCTAGAGCGGGAAGGTATCTGTGGAGAACCTTTCCTGAGAGCAGAAAATCTCACAGCAAGAGGCTAAATGACTTGTACACTAAATGTCACATATAGGAAGACACTTGCCTCCAAGAGGAGCCCCGAAGCAACATCCAACTCCAACTGCGCAAGCCGGCACCAGGAGGTCGAACTGCCTATGCACATTCTGGAACAGAGAGTGCAGCCAGAGACGGGCATGCTGGGGTTAGAGGGAGCAAAGCCAGGGGGTTAGGACCCAGAATAATGAAAATAAGCAACAGCCAGCAGCAGATTCAGCCACTGCTATTACAAATAGCAGGTTCTACACGCTTTAGTGCAGTCTTTAGTACTGTCAGCTGGTCTTTGGCAGTGACATCTGGTCCTTGTGCGCAGACACTCAAGTAAAACAGCCCCTCCAGCTGTTGTATTACACAGTAAGATTCTGCTAAGACCCTGCAGGTAAGGGAGTTCCTACATTTAGCTATATGTGCAGTTAATAGATTTTTTTGTACAACTAGTCAACACAGTGATCAGCCTGCAGAGGCTGGTCTGCAACAGCAAAAGCATAGACATGGTGTCAGTGTCTATAATTAGCAATGCAGTATAAATTTGGCTTAAAGACAAATTAATCTTTGTCTGCAGCTACTTTTTTATACAGACAATTATCACAGTGCAAAAGTATCAGCATCAAAAACTTGTCAAATACATATTTCTAATGAGCCTCTGTGTAATTGAAAGGTAACATTGGTGGTCCTAGACTGTAAATCTGGCCTCCCACTACCATTTTGTTTGGCTTGTATTTTGCTGCTCAGCAGTACAGTGAATTTCAAAACATGTTTCCTCTCTGTTCTGTGGCCTACCCATACTATCCTGTGTCTTAGGAGTTCAGCCTGTGGAAGAGCTATATGCAGACATGTGCCTTACCTCATACACACCACAGAAGATTGACATGAACTTGCTGAGTACTGCAGCACAGATACTGGCAATATGAACAAAAGGACCCTGCAAGAGAAGAGGAGGAGGAAATAAGAGAGGGTTACCCTCTGGTTACTGATAACCACTTAGCTATTGAAGACCTCATAATTTCTCTTTAGCCATCTCAGCCAGTCAGAGAACCAATAGGGTTGGAGAAGACCTCCAAGATCACAGAGTCCAACTGTGAGCAGCACCATGTTCACCACTAGACCGTGTCCCCAGATGCCACAACCACTCAGCTTTTGAATTCTTCCAGGGATGGTGATTCCACCTCTTGCCTGGGCAGCCTATTTCAACGCCTGACAACCCTTTCAGTGAAGAGGTTTTTCCTAATATATAATCTAAACCTCCTCTGGTGTAACTTAAGGCCACTTCCTCTTGTCCTGTCATTTATTACCCGGGAGAAGAGACCAACCCCCACTTGGCTACAACCTCCTTTCAGCTAGTTGTAGAGAGTGACAAGGTCCCTCCTGAACCTCCTTTTCTCTAGGCTAAGCCATGCTAGCTCTCTTAGCCACTCCTCAAAAGACTTGTGCTACAGACCCTTTAATCTTCCTCAGTTCTCCAATCTCCATGTATTTTCCAGACTCTGCTCACTATTGCACATGGAAACAGCAAAATTTACCTCTTTCCCCACAGGCATGCCACTTCCAAGCCCGGCTGTAAGGCTCACAACCTTGGCCACAAAAGCTTTGAGAGTGAGATATTCCTTGAGGACCACTCCCCTCATAATGGTCTTGAGCTCTGGGATCCCAGACCCTGAAAACAACAGCAGAGCAGGGGATGAACTTAACCTGCAGGCAAATGAAACAAAAAAACAAGACAGACAGAAACAGATCTTGCCATGCCTTCTGCCCTTACCAACAGCCTGTGGAGAGACGAGGTGGCAGACAATGGCCGCAAACAGAATGAGAGCAAGTGGATATGCAACCCACACCACATACTGCAGAGGAACATTTGGGTGCAGCTCTCTGTACATCCACTTGTAGGCTGTAGACAGAAAAACAGAGAAGTTGTCAGTAACCACAGCTGCTCCAAACAGGTTGGTACACACCAAAGAAACACACACTTGCAAACGTGCCCATGCTAAATTTCCCTGAGAAATGCTACCCTAAAGTCCTCATTTTCTAAGATAAGCCTTGTTACATTTTGAATTCCCAAATAAAGCAGGCATTCTGGAGGAATGGCTAGAAGACACTATTAATGCCTGTGCCCAAGTGTGGCATAAGAAGAGGTGTGTTACATGCAGTTGTGAGGTTGAATCACTGTACAGTCTCTTTTCATTTGGTAACCTGACTGTCTTATGTGTCTCCTGAAGGAGAATAAAGTGGTCCACCAATCTTTTCTTCCTAAAAACTAGTTTAAAAGCTCTAATTATGATTTGCTTTCTAGAGCAGCAGCATGAAGGGAGCTGTGCCAACAGCTATTAAAACACCAGTGGTACCTTTGCTCAGCCAGACACCATAGCAGGAGCTGCTGAGAATCCAAACTGAACTGTAGCTCCTGTGCAACTGTGTCTTCTCTGCCTGAGCTGGCTCTCTACACAGTAGGAAGCTGAGACATGGCAAAGGGAAAGGAAAAAAAAACCAACCCAAAGGACTCAGCTGCAGAAAGTAAAGGATAGGGAATCTCAGAAACTGGTAGACCATACCAGACTCCTCATAGATGGGGAAGTCTGGGAGGAACCTTGGGTGAAGGAATAATGGGAGCTTTGAGGAATTGCAGTGTCTGGTGAAAATCAGCAGCCAAGCAGAAAGGGTTGGTGTGCATGTGCCAGTAAGGGCTGGGATACTGAAGGTAAGGACAAAGGAACAGTGCAGTTAAAAGGATGTGGGCAATGTTGTGTGTGTGTCTGCACACTGAGATAAGGGGCAGAGGGCCTGAAAAAATCTTGTAATTTTTATAGCTGGGAAAGGGGAGACAGATCACAGGAAAAATGCAGGGAAGGGATATAAGACATAAGACCACAGTACCACTTCCCTGTGCTCCTGCATATTCAAGGGAGCAGAAGGGAAAGGGATTCAAGATGTCTTTGACTCATTATACATATATCCTTTGTTTACGCCCACTAACTTCCAAATTTTTCCCTGCAATCCCTTTAATGAACCTCTTCCTAGTTAACCTTTACTCTAATATGTTGCAAGAACTTCAAACTTCCCAGGCAGCGAGGAGTAAGGATGTATACTGATGTTGAAGGAGGAGGAACATTGGTCACTGGGCTTTATATAAAACATTTTTATCATTTACAGTTTGCTTTTGCAACACCTGAATGGGACCCACCCTGTAGGCTCTTCGCACTGGCATAATCCATTCCCCAGCTCACCAACGCCATGACCAGACCCAGGAGAACCAAGAAAATCCAGTCCTCTCCAAGCTTCTTGGTAATATATTTCTGCATGCGTTTAGCACAGGCTGTGGAGGGAAGAGTGAACCAGAAAAACTGAGGCAGAAAGATGTAGCGCCTGTCTACCTCTCATATGCTTAGAACTGAACAGAATCAGGATTTATTTGGAAGCATCCTGGGCTTAGTGTTGAAGGACTGGTGCCCATCCCTCTCTGACATAGTTATGCAAAATAATAAATGGGGAGTGTTTGTGTGTGTGTGTGAGGACACACAGGGTGGAATTTAACATCTTGTACACTAGCAGCAAAAGTGTGACACAAGGAAGTCCTTTTCCTCTTGTTACAGAGATCTGTTGTGGAAAAAAAAATTATTATTTTTCATTCCAAACAGATCTTGGCTCTTCCTAGGATGAAAGCTCACATGAAGAAGTTTTTTCTTCCAGTCAGATTCCTTTTCCTTGCCCCTATGCTTTCACCAGTCACAATTGCTTAAATTCCATCTCTCTGGCTGGTCTACCCCAATATCTGGTCATAGGATAATGAAAGATGAATTCTCCCTACCTTGACATTTGGAATAGTGTTCTTCTTTGATCTGTACTTGACTGTCACGTTTCAGGTGTCTTCCATTGTTCTTTTGGGCCTGTTTCTTCAATAGGTTTGCTCCTTCCTTCTCTGAAATGTCAGTTATCTGGTCTGTGTATTTGCCATAAAGCTAGAGGAGTAGAAAACAAGAGAGATCAAAAGAAAAGGTAAGGCAGATGCTCCTTCACAGGTAACATTAAGAATGAAAAGGCAGATCGATCTACCAACAGTCCAAGGTGCAGGCCCAAATGTATCCAAGGAGGGAGACTGAGACAGAAACTCTCAGACACCTGCAACTAACTTTTCTTTTTTCTTTCTAGTTCCCACTTCCCAGTCTTTCCAAAACCTTTTCATCTTCTTTTTGGGAGTACAAGATATGGTCACAGAATTCTCATTGTTTTCTAACATCCCAAGAAAAAGCTGGCTGTAGTCTAAAGAGATTGGGTAGACTTTCTGGAGGTACAAAAGAAGGTGAAAAGAGTTCACATGAGGCTGCCATCCTCAGAGCTGTCTCACAGATTTCAGCAGCACTGTAAAACGTCTCTGAAGGTTTTGAGAGGTATTACACCATCAAACAGGCTGCAGGAATGTCCTGCATCTGTTCCTCCTGCTGCCAAGGAATGCTTAACAGGGCACACAGCCACTGATGGTGCCGGCAGAGGAAAAGAATCAGCATCAGCTCAGAAATATCACTGGGTACTGCACTTCTCCAGCTATTTACCCAAATCAGCATGTTAAATCTTCATGTATCTCCAATTCTTCTGAATTTCCTAAATACTTAGTCCAGTCTTTGTCTTCAGATACTAATCTTGAAATGCCATTCGTTATACGCAATTCAAAACCAGCTACACGTGCTTACCAAGGATATATCATACATGGGTACACAGTAAACTTGGCAGTTGTGCCGTCTTGTCAACAAGATCTCAAGGGAGTTTGAAGAACCCTGACTGTGCCCCCTTGTCTGTTTACCAGATTCCCTGAAGAGCAGCTATCCTACCTTACTCTTCCAGAGTATAGGTGGGGAAGGTGTGTGTTTAAGAAGCTGAGAATAAGCCTCTCCTTCTCACATGTCCTTCAATGAACCAGGTTTAGCTTTACTTCAGGTCAGGTTACCGCCTGATGCACTTCCCACCTGTGAGAAGGCAACTCTTTGCTTCCTCCCCAGCACAACATCTGCTTCTCTGAGATTTTCTGAGTAGCAGGAGGAGAATGAGCAATGTTTTGATCAGCAAAGTCAAACACTTTAGCTGGAGAATGGTTAGACATAGGAGAGAGATAATGCACGACCACACACTTAGAAGACATTTCTATTTGACAGTTCATGCCTCCTCTTTTCGAGGTAACACAAGAGATGTTCCTGTTCCCCTCAGATAAAATAGATTCAGAGACTCACAGAAAGATTTACAGTGGTAGGCACCTCTGGAAGTTTCTAGTCCAAGCCTCTGCCCACAGAATGCAAACTCCAAAGCCAGAAAAGCCAGATTAGGCTGCTCAAGACCTTGTCCCAGCAATTCCTGAACATCTCCAAGGGTGTAAATTATCCAGCTTCTCTGAGCACCTGTTTCAGTGCTCTACCAATTAACATTTCAATATAACAAATATGATTGAAGGTCCTAAGTATTTTACTTATTTGCACATACTTCTCAAGGGACACTTGAACCATATGACATCAGCTCTCTTTGGAAATCCTAGTGGATTTTTTTTTCACAGAACACACATCTATGCTTTATTAAATCATGCTGATCTAAAGGCAGCTCACCTGGTGTCTCTTAGACAGATTGATCCTATCTGAACAGCTGAAGATATTCTTCCATTCATCACTGTATTGGAAACTACACAAATTTATTGTAATTATTAACCACATGATTACCAACACATTCTAGGTAAATTAAGCAATGCAGACCCTTTGCAGTGAGGAATGGCCATGCTCTGACCTCCATAATACAGACAGGACAGTGAAACATCAGGCTGAAGAATTTCATCTACAAGCTGCCACATACAGAATGCAGTCCTAACATAGCAAACTGCTCAGATTTTTTGTCTCACTGTGTCTATTGCAGCTAGAAATGCTAAGTACTAACAGATTTTAGACAAATGAATCTTCACTTCAGCTAGTGTTTCATTGCTGTTAAATGGTCATGAGGAATGCATTTATATCAAATACAGCTTAAACCCAACTGTGAACTCAAACCCATGTCAAGTATGAGATTCAAAGTAGAATCTTCCATCTGCCAGATAGAACATCATGACAGTATAATAATAAGAATGTTGAAAGTCCTCATATGGTATCCTAGTTCGCTGCTTCTGTCTGGCTGGAAAATGGTGCACTCAGGATGTGGGAAAAAAGGAGTTAGTCCACAGACATAAAAAAAGAAGTTTGTCCTGCCAAACAAGATAGTCTCAATTCATTTAAAGAATCCTTCACATATGTGTTTTGCTTCTCCAGGACTCTGGCAGTATCTGAAATGGTAAAAGATTGTGGGACAGAGAAAGAATCCAGAAAGCAGAGGATTACCTTAAAGCAAAATTAGGTTAGGCAAGAACTATGCACTCCACTAGAAGGCATGTAAAACTAAAAATATAACACAGTAAGATTCTGACTTCCTTCTTCTGTTGCTCCCTCACTAACACAAGGAACACAGGATTTCTGAGCACTAGAAAAATTGAAGACAAATTCATAAGATCTTAGTTACCACCTGAGGGTTGAACCAGAAAAGGTACTATCATGCCTAGCTTGGCTAAATGCTGAGTGAGACTATGATAATGGTGCAAAACCAGCTGAGAGTGTAAATACAAGTAAAGATAAAAGGGAGGAACACACACATAAAAAAAACCCATCCAGGGAGAAAGCACAACTAGGATAAAGTACATTTTCAGGGAGGAAGCATTTATTAATGCTTAACTGTAAATCAGCAGGGTTTATCTCTCCAGAAATTGGAGAAGTTTCATTGCTTGAGTAGCAGAGGAAAAGCTGCACAGAATCTCAGGGAAAAAATATACCACAATCTCAAGACTTTTCTGGGAGCTGTTTTCTGAGAGCTCAGCACATGTATAGAACTGTTCTCTCACACTCCAAAGCCCAAGCTATCTCCCATGTCTTTCCAACTGAATAATACATTTTACACAGAATACTCCAGTCCTGAAATCCCCTTTCCCCAGTACTGTCAGTGCATCCTGTTTATAAGCTGCTGCTCCTAGTCACTGAGGCAGCCCTGGGCTCTACTTCTCATCCCTTTCATTCCATCCTTGTAGCCATCCTGCTATCTTCATTAGGTGATTTTTTTTCTGATGGATCACAAAAGAGAAGCTGTACTGGTCTCAAAGGTGAAAATTCCCAGAATTCACTGCATAAGTTAATTCAGATGTCAGTAAGAAGTCTTGGTTCAACTGCCTAGATACAGAGCCAGTGAGGCATATGTAAGCAGTGGGGGACAGCAACAAAGTAATAGTTTTTCCTGCAGAAAAGGTAGCAAAGGGGAGGGTCTATCAGTAATTCCACCACTTGAAGGGGGAGAGGGGTTGGAGAAAAACATTAGAGCAAGATTTCTTGGAGGGGCACAATGAAGGACAAAAGGGAAAAAATACAACTTGCAAAAAAGTCCATGCAAAAGGAAAGCATGTCCCCGTCTACCCCCTCTTGAGGCTGGTTTAACACAGGAACAGGTACCCAGAGGGCTGGGGAATCTTCAGTCTTGGAGATGTTGAGAATGGACAAGGCCCTGACCAACCTGACCTGTCTTCGGAGTCAGTCCTGCTGTGAGTAGGAGCTTGGGCTGGAGAGTTCCAGAGGACCTCTTAACTATCTCTATGTGAGCCTGTTATTCTGTATTACTGCATTGCATGATTTTGTATTGCACATCCCTCCCACTACACCCATCTGTGTATTGCTGAGTGAGCTCTCTGCCAGGAACACGCTACAGTCACAAATAACACAGCTTCTAAATACTTCATCAGCTGTAGCTGCTTTCTCATGCAGACAGAAAGCAGTACAAAATCCCACAGTACATGATAATGTACATTTTTTGTCAGGGTATATTATATCATCTATCATATATCTACTATCTGTTATCTTAATTGTCCAACATTATGCATATATTGTTATTATTATCCTACTATTGTTATTATTTTATTATCTATTAAGCACTATATGAATTTTTACCACTTATTATCTGAAGGTCCAAGGCAAAAGACCAAGACTTCACTGTTCTGGGGCCTGTGTAAACCCAATCAAATCATATGTAAAACAGAAGGCAATAGCTAGCAAAAGAAAAGTGTACAACAGAATCAAACCTCTCTCTGCCAAATGTTTTTTCACACGTCAATGGGGAAAGAAATCTTAATGATTAATCTGGATGAAAATGGATGAAAACATGTGCAGCAGGTTGTTTTTCATGCTAATAACATGATAATAAGTATGCATGTTTGTACAAAGTATACATGCATATTTATAATTTATTGGAATGTGGGTGAATGGCTAGCAAAATATACACATGCACATCAAGCCTGGCTCTGCCAGAATATGTCTGCATACAAAGTTTCATGCATAAACATACATGCACAAGTGTACATGGTTGTTTATGTAAAATATTTCTAGGACATTTTTCAGTAAAACTATAAATAGAACTGTCTGGGGTTTTGGGTTGCAAATTGTGTTCACAAATGCATGCTTGCTTGGGGGTATTTCTGCCTGAAGATATCCTTGGGAATGGATTTGATGGCCTTCCTGTTTGTGCTTGAGGTTGTCTATCTACGTGCACTGACCATCACGCCTCTGGAGCCGAGCACAGAGACACTCTGGTGCCAGGCAGCAAGAGCACAGCAGTGGGTTGTATTGCCTCACTGTGACATCTGTGTCTGCTGGTGAGTATGGTTTTAGATGTGTGGGACTGGTGTATCTGGTGGATACATGTGAGCTGGGATGTTTCTGGGATGCGCTTAACTGGAGAAGCAGTTTACATCCCACAGCTCCCTCCCACCCCAGCTCACTGTCTGTTCACAGCACACACACCAAGGTGCATTTCCTTTGCCCATCTCAGCTCTCCAGCCCCAGGTGCTGCGCTGCTTGCACCCCATGGGGCAGGCATGACCCCAGTGGAGCTCAGCTCCAGGTGGGCACACACACCTCTCTATCCTGTCCCACTCCACACCATGCTCCAATCAGGTCTTTTCCAGAGGCCTTCCCAGTGGTGCTGCTGCTTCCAAACCAGCTGGGTGGTGGTTTTAGAAGACTTTAGTGTAGGATGCATACAAATTCTCAGTTGTTTTAGTTTCAGAAGAGAAATTCCTGAATATGGCCGTATAACCAATTCTCTTTTGTGTTGTGACACATAACCATTCTCCTTGGGATGCTTATCCACCAGAAGAGACTTTCTTGTGCCAAATGTGGTTTTTTTCCTATCACTACATCACAAATGTCTTCCCGCACCAATTATTCACCATCCATGTAAGCGGATTTGAATTCATGTAAGGAGAAACACCCACGCTGTGAATTGCACATTCACACATTGCACATTCATTGCACCAAAGCCCTCTTAGGTCAGATTGGTTTGAGCAGAGTGGTAGGAAATTAGATACCAGGCCTCTGCTGTAAAACCTCCCTTTGCATGAAGCTGTCCCAAAAGTAGAGGTAAAGGAGATACAGAGAGTAATAGAACAAGAAGCCATAACCAGAGTACATCTCTGTCGCAGATACTTTTCTGAGCCACTGCTTGTATGAACTAAAAAAAGAGTCAGGTCAAGTGTAAGGGTTAGAAAGTCCCTCATTTACATCTTCCCTAAGAGTCACCAAAACTATCAATATACATGTATGGGCCTATGACCATGAAGTTCTTTTTGCTCAGAGAAATGTTACAAGAGAGCTTTATTTCATATATACAGCTGTGCAGATAGATACCCATCCATCTACATCATTGTTCTCTTTGATTTTATTCACTTTTCTGCTCTACTTAATATCACTATGCAGATGAAGGCAGTTGCAGCTTCTCTTCGTTGTTACAGATGCATTAATCTCTGGTTGATTTTTCCCCATCCCAGCATGTCCATTCCAACTCTCATTGAATCTATGGCAGGTGAAAATGACCTCTGACTTGAAATGCTGATAAGGACTCCTGGGTTTAAGTACAACTGTAAATGCCAATGCCTGAGCTGGGAGTCAACAAACAAAAAGGGGAGAATTGGTAGGACTGGGAATGGACAGGGATGTGCGCTCTACCAGCACTGTTCTGGGAGCCCCAAGAACCTATGTGATCCCAAGGAGACCTGTGCTGCCACAAACATCCCAGTTGTCCAGCCCTACCTGTGGGTAGCTGAGGGAGTTCTCCTGGCAGCGCGGCTCGTCCCCTGTGCCCCCGGCCTCACGTCCTGCCTCCAGGGGTATCCCGTAACGGGTGCATTTCTCAAAGCAGACATAGTCGTATTGTGGTGAGCCCCCCCACAAAGCTGGCTTCGATTCGGGTTCCTGCGTCATGGTCTCTGAGCTCTCCATGTCTCTACTCTTCCTCATGCTCATCTTTAGTGGAGCTGCTGCTCTGAGCCTTACCTAGAACCACCACGTGTTCTGACAGAGAGCAAGGCCTCCGCATTTTCTGCTGCTCCTTCCTTCTTTTTTTTCCTCTCCTCAGACCGCTCTGACTTGTCCTGTTCTTGCACTCTCTTTCTCTCTGCACCCCCCACCCTTCTCCTCCTTGTGCCTCTCTCACTTTCTTCCCTTCCTGCCCAAAGGCACTGATGACAGGGTTCAACTATATTTATAGCAACCTTCATCTGCCACATGATTCCTCAGTACTGTGCCTGATCTCAGCAAAAGGCAATAACTCTGTTGGGATTGAATATCAGGTGTGAGCAAGAGGGGAACTCCTGAAGGAGAGGAAAGGGGGAGGGGTAAGGAGGTGGTATGACAGAGCTATAAGCACAGAGAGAGAAAGCAGAGAGTAGGAAGCAGAAATTATTATCCAGGATAACAGTTCTTTCACAGCTTCCCGTCCTGAGCAAGCCGTGTTTGCAATGACTACAGAAGTCAACGGGCTTCCTCATTCTCTCCCCAGATACCAGGTGTCCAAAAGACTGAGGGACAATCATAAAGATCCCAGCAACTATGGTGAGTTGGAATGAGGTAGGTGTCCACTTAGTGTCCCAAGAAAATTTTAGCTAAGTTCATAGCCCACAAGAGAAGCAGCAAACCCTGATGGAGAAGTCAGGCATCCCTGTAAACTGCTGAGCATTACAGTCTAATCTCAGCCTTCCCACATTCCCTTACTGGGAACACTTTACACTTTGAAGAATGTCACCAACCTGCTCTGTGGGTACTCAGTTATAGGTGTATGCAGAAATTCATTCTTCTTAATGCTCACTTTCTTCGCACTAAAACATTCAGCAGCTTTTCCTCTCCACTCTGCCAGTGGTTTCTCAGCCAGGAAAAAAAGCAACAAGCTCAGCCGACACCAGTGAGCTACCAGACAGTGCTAGGAGTGAGAAGTATGTTACAGCAACATGGCCTAGAGGCATCTCCCAGTACTGCCAGTGTGCTGCCTGTATCCATTCTGATGGCTATTAATTAAGGAAGAACAGTGGGTTCAAAATCCTGAAAACTGTGTGCAAAGAAAAAAAGAAAAGAAAAAAAAGACTCCAAATTTCAAGCTTCTCGTACTGCAGGATAAGAGATTTGCAGGCAGGATGGGATTGAAAGAGAGGCAAAATGTCCTTCTTTTGGGTCTGAAAGTGGTCCCGTTGTTTTGTTTTGCAGACTCCTGTAGAACATTTCTTCTTTTGGTTTTTGTTTTTTTAATCTGCATGGTCCTTGAGAGCGAATTAGAAAGAAAGACACACCTAATTTTCTCCATAAACCACCTTTTCAACTTCTCCAGTGTTTCTGCTAAGATATCCATATTGATGTCCATTAGCAGTAATATCCAGATGGATGTTGTTAGTCTCTACAACCCACAACTGGTGGTGGGCCAGGCAAGCACTGAATATTTCCAAAAGCGATACCAGTGCTTCCTCAAAATCTAGAGACCTGTTTCATTCTCACCAGCACTCACTTTACTGTCAACAAGCAATGTTTTCTGGAGGAAGACTATCTACCAACAGGTAGGACGAAGCATGTAATGAGACACACTAAAGAAGAGTTTCTAAGTGACTATGTCTAGGAAATCAGGGAAAAACATTTGGATATCCTCATAGATTGCCATCATAAAAGCATTAATTGCTCCCAACATACTGATATGCTTTTGGAAGACCAATGTCACTATGGCATAGCATATACTATATAGTGTATAAAACATAAAAAACTCTGTAAAATTTTTAAGTGGACATCATATATAGGAAGCCTAAACACCAGGCTCAGCAAACACCAAAGCCATAATACAGCGTCAGATCTTCAGTTACTATTACATGTACTGGAGGAGAACACTTATCACAGCCACTGGAAAAAATGAGAACTTTTACCCAAAAGTTCACCCTTCTAGCTCATGTTTTTCAAGAGGCACAAGAATGGCACTTTAGAAATTGCTACAGTATGAAAATGAACCCAATGCTGCCAGCTAATCAAACTCAACTGTCTCTCTTGCATGATATTGTTGTGAAATTTCCATGGGAAATAATTATATAATAATAGCCTAAAATAGGATGATCCTACTCTGAAAGGCTTTTTCCAAGAATTGTCCCTCTCAGCCTCCCAACTGGCACCAGTGTCACCCACCTTATCAATAAAAGCATGAAGGATCCCAAGGCCAGCATCCACTAAATGACTCTAGATGCCACTTGAACCTCTACTATCCACATGAAGAAGGCAACCTACAAAAACCCTGAGCCCTCACTTTTGCTTTCCACAACATAATACATCTCATCCAGTGCATGGAATGGTAGAGTGACAACTGAACAGTTGTGCTGTGGTGGTACCTATGTGCACTCTAAAGACCTACCTCCAAGGACATCTGCAGCTAAGGACCTAGGATTTACCTAATTCCTGCTGGGACAGCACATCTTATCCAAAAATATCTCTACCTCTGGTCTCTGTACTGAGATACTGTCTACCAAGACAGTCTACTGTCTTACTGTCTGAGTAAGACTGAGAACTGAAATTCACAGTTCTAGTGCTTGACAAAATATATACCATCTGTAGAGATATTGGATTTATGTCGCATTATGTCCTGAACACTAATCTTATCATTCCTCTCAGCTTGTAAATCACCCCTCTCCCTCTTTCCCCTAGGAGGAAAGCACATTGTCAGCTCTCTGGGAGCTATTAACAGTCCTCACTATTCCACAAGGTACCAGTAATCTTCTATCACAACTCCAGCCTCACTGGCACTAGTGTAGTTGAATTCAAAGCAGGTATTCTCAATTTGTATTTGCTCTGAGATCTGCTGCTTCTATTTCAGGCTCAAAGAAGAACTTGCAGACCCAACAGCTTGTCCACTTTTCCCTATTGGCACAGCTGATCTAATGAAACATATAGTTCCAGCTCTACCTGTTATATTGCCTGTATTTTCAGATCCTCGGAGTCCCATAAGCAAAGAATATAGAGCACACCCCAAAAAAAGTCTGCCTTTCTGCATTGCTGCTGCCCCGCAACTGCTGTCAAATCTCCCCTATCACTTTTCCTGTAATCTCCTGCCGCAGTTCTTCTTCCTGTATTTTCCTTATTGTTCATCTGTCCTGCTTTCTACTACCCAGGGCTAGCTCTGCCCTTATACCAGGACTCAGCAGTGTAGTACTGCTGCTGTTTAAGAGGTTACCAGCAGACTCAGGAGACTAGCACAGACTCCTAAAAAAGGAGGAAGATTTAATAAACATCTTGCACTAGCCACAAACACAGATGACTTGTATGCATGGCTTGACTCCTCAGGTGGACCTAAGCTTCTTGGAAAGGCTCACAAAAGTTTTTAGACTGCCCATGGCATGCAATAGGAAAAGTATACAACCTACTCATACACCTTTTTTTTTCCTTACATATTACAGGCCCTAGTGGGACTGCAAAGTGTGATTCCCAGTGTACTTCCTTCAAGTGGGGCATCTTTGTGACAGATGAAACTACAGCTATAGTCCAAATTAGGGTATTAAGTGATGAAAAAGGAAGGAATAGAAGTTGGAAGAACTCTCACCCGTGATGGGTCTCTTCTTCAGTCAGCCATCTATTTTTCTCTCTCCTCTTCCCAGTTTTCTCTCAGGTCTCCCTTTCTCTTCCTTTATTTCTCCTCAATGCTTTTCAAGATGCAGAGATATATCTAATGGCCTTCCCATTCTACTGCCTTTATACTGAAAGCTCTGTAGGGTGAGGGGACAGGTGATTGAAGACTTGTACTTGTCTTATGATCTGGTCCCAGGAGATTTATCACCTGAAATCCAAGTGCTAATAATCTACAGTGACAATCTTAATGTTCCCTGTGCCCTGCCCACACAATTATCAGATATCATTCTAACTTCTGAGACTTCTGCTTATGACAGAGCTTTTTTTGGTTTGTTGTGTAGCAGATTCATCCTAAAAGATCTAGACCACTTCATGACATCACTGTGTACAAATGTTATGGCCCACCACCAGACTGCAGCCTTCTCTGGAATGAAATGTCATATCTGTTTTTCAGCTGCCACCAATACTGCATACACGGACATTATAGCAGCTGGTGGTGCAAGCCCTTTAACACCCTAGACTGACAGAAGCTGAATTTTCTGAGGCAGATTTATTGTTAATGAGAACCCTACATGCAGAATAGAAGAACAGTCATTTAAGAACAAAGAAAAAATAGCATTCTGTGCTTAAGAAAGCTCAGTCCAAGAGGTCTACAAGGCTGTGAACGAGACAATGTAAAAGATAGATATGAGACAAAAGAAACTGTAAAGGTGAAAAAGGGAGTTTTACAGGAGGAAGAGGAAAAAGGTGACAAAAGGAGGTCTACTTAACAGAAACAGAGGGTCTAAGAGATAAACACAGAGGTAAAAAGAGGCAAAGCACAGAAGGGCATGAGAGAATGAGATGCTGGACAGGAAGAAGATACAACAAGCATATTTTGCCTCAAGCAATAGCTTCAGATGGAGCAGAAAAAAAGATGGAAAAGGCAGGAAAAAGATTTCAGTATGTGTCAGATAAGGCAATGGCTTCTAAATGAGAACAAAGTGCTTGACTAGGACATTTTATTAGACAAGAATACCCATGGTGGCTTCAAAGAGCTACAGGAGGCAATTAGAGCTTTGGCAGAGAAAGAATGCTGTGAAAAGGGTTAGGAAGAGGGAGGGAGACTGGAAGAAAAGACAGCTTTTATAGTAAAAGAAAGAAATGGATCATGGACTGAGGCTTGAACAGTAGCAAAAGACAAAAATTTAAGCTGTGCAGGGGCACAGAGTAAGCCAGGCTGAATATGGAGACACAATGGCAGAGAACTCTCAGAGGACACTTGAAAGAAGGGCTGAATCCACAGTAAAAAGTAAAAAGACCAGAAAGTTTAAGGGCTTTCATCATGGAGAAATAACAAG